ATTGTAAGAGGTCTTGGCTATTTGCTAGCTGTGATCTCTGTATGGCGGCCGGTCATCCGCGAACATCCTTCTAGTGAGCATTTTAGTGAAGCTGACAATCTTCGAAGATATGTATAAACGAGACTCCTTTTTTGAGTATTTTGCTCTGCCTCATACGTTTTCCGAGAGTCTCGAGGAATTCAAAGACCTTAGCAACCACTATTCAAGATCTGATGGTCTACTGCTGATCAACCAGGAACTGGTCACCCCATCTAGTATTACCGCAAGAGCATCGCTGCTGCGAATGATGCCAATTCCTTCTACTGGCGACTCTTTTTGCAGCCACGGCAAATGAATGCACAATAAAGGACTGTAAAATAATCTTATTTTTTTTTCTTAACTATCTGTGGTTATCACGACTCTGATCTCTCGTGCTGCCAGAATGCTTTTTTTTCTAACGTTGTGTGTTTTAATAAAGTGTAAGGCACAATACTACTTCCCAGTAATTGATCACCATGGTCACCTTCTCTAGCGTCTTTATTTCGCCAAAAACGATCCCTGCTGTCTGTGTTTCCTTCTAAATTCTACTCGCAATGAAATGTCTAATTGATTACTATGTCTACCACAGATATGAGGTTACTGCATGTTAGTAAGTAAAATTAGGCAAGTTATGTCTAGTTTTTTTTAAGCTCCTTTTCCTTTTCTAAGAGTGCCATCGTTTAACTACGAGCGTGTCTAGTCGATCAGTCACTGCTGAGAAATTCAATTAAGCGCAACCGCTTTTCTTTTGCATTTTTTTATTTACCACTTTCGTTTTTATATCTTCTTCTAATCAACAAACTGTTATCTCCAGGTACGTAATCTCAATTTTAATAGTCAATCCTTGCATACTGTCGCACTATTTCCTCATTACTTTCAGCCTATCTACGGATTTATTGAATTTTTCACTATATGTATATGCAAGCTGGCAAGTTGCTGGTTAATAGCTAAATATCTTTTTTTCTCATTATTTCTTTGTCCCATTTTATTTGTAGCAAGTGCAAAAGCAATTTATGGCTTGTACAGGTAGTCCTAAAGAACGCTTCAGCATGCTTCACTTTCTTTTAGGACTCTCGGAATTTTTGGTCTTCGTCAGGTTTTAACCCGCTTCAATAAGCTGTGTCGGAAACAGGTAAAGATTCGTCCTCATCTTCTATTTTACCGTTTGTTATCTCATCATCGCAGCAAGAGTCTCGTCCTTCCTCCACACCTAGGCAGTCTCTAGCCCTGATTCACTTTCGGGAATAGTCCTTAGGATAGCGCCTGTTCGTTCGAAAGGATCTATCTTTTACCAACGTAGGCGACTCGCGCTTTATTAATTATCTGTTATAATTTACGTATTTTATTCTATTTATTAATTTCTATTGATTTTCCCGAGGTTTCATTATCGCGAACGTATGGCAGTGCTCGTACAAAATACTAACTGTAAGTGTGGTTGTAGTCACCAACTGATTATCATTTGGAAGAATTCTATAGCTGTATTGCCGTTATGTTCAGCAGCCAGTTAGCAAGGCCTGTTCACGCAATATGTAAAGCTAGGCATCTAGGACATAGAATATGGCGTCTCTAGATTCCTCTCGAAGGTAGTCTATTATGTGTGCTGAAATAGATTCGACGTAAGTATCGCCGTTAGGAACTCCATCACACGGCTAGCTGCCAGCACAAAACGCGGTGTGCCCATGTCGGGTTCAAATTTAAACTACGACGTATCCCTCGGATCATTAGACATCACGTAACCATTACAGGGACATTAGACGTTAACCATAAGCTCCCGGTGCGTATTTCGTCCATCATTTATTGAAGTGCGACGACGATGCCACGAGTGTACATAGTAGTGGTAAAAGGCATTTCATACGCAATGAGACAGCTCTGAAGACGACCAAACGCAATGTTGTGTTTCCCCAATGTGTGTGTGTAGTAGAAATTTTCTATTATTGCTACTTTTTTTCGTCGACGCTACGATAGAGACCCAGCTTATTTTTGGTCACCGATATAATTACAAAAATCATCAATGCATATCGATAGTTTGTGGCATTAGAAGGCGGAAGAATAAAAATAATAACATAAAAAATGGCCTTCGCAAGTGTTAGTTTACGACGATCTAACCGCATTAGCTAGTTGGCCACACCGCAGTGATTCGGCAGCCAGCAGAGTACTGCAACGCTAACACACGGATCGTATATGGCGTTGGCTGGACCTATACAGCGAACTTTTTTTCCCTTTCAACCATGGACTTGACATCCTAAACCCTTGTGTTGACCACATTTATCTATATTTGTTGTAAAACTTTTACCAAAAGTTTATAAATATCTCGATTTGTGGACATTATTCATTGTAACAATTTGGTCGGTACACCGAGCGAAACGTTTGTGCTATTTTGTGCCATCATTTCGCTGAACAAATACAGATCGACGCGGTCCTGTACTCGCAAATTTGTACATAAATTACACTTTATTTATTCGAAGGAAAATACTTCGTTTATTTGAAATCCCTAGCATTTAATATTTTTCTATTACTTAGTAGTAGTTAATCACCATGCACACATCTTAGCTTAGGGAGTTCCTTTGTTAAACAGCGGAGCTGGATTGAAATTTGTGTGTATCTTCAGCTGCCATCGCTGATAAATTCCACTCACTTTTTTTTTGTAGAAATCTTTCGTCTATGTGGCTTCCAGTGTCTATCGAAACTTGCTTTAATGGACATTTCTGTTACTCGTATAGACCATCTGCAACGAAGCTTTTGTGTTACAAAGTACAACGAAAATTTAATAGACACCTCATTCGTCAGAAGACGAATTCGCGTAATTTTGAAGCCATCCAAAGTAAGAGTGTTTCCGAGAGCACTAATTTCAACTCTATATACCGATGCAGTGCATCTTCAACAAAATAATCGAGAGGGTGGTTACGATGAACCAAACAGTGTCTCCAATATGGCGTCGGTTCGCCATCGCGATGCACAAAGATACCTCTCTAAACAATGTCAATTAGAGACGATTTTTTCTTGCTGATTATAATAAGATTGAGCAATTTTCCTAGTGAAAACGGTCTATCGAGAGAGATGAGGACGAGGCAAACATTTCAAAAGTAAAATACTCATCGAGTTACTAAAGTTGAACGACAAATAGAATACTAATGGCTAATAGAACATTGATATAAAACTGGGTTTACTAAAAAAAAAAAGGACCATATGTAATGAGGCCACCGCAATTAAATAAGGAAGGCTTTTCTTCAATGCACGATTACTATTGTACGGTTAATCAGACTGATTTGTTTTAGACTAAATTGATCATCTAGGGTCCTCGACCAGTTTTTTCATCTCTCTCGATCAGTTTTTATTATGATCTACTAGTGCCACAGGGCGGTGCATTCAAATCAAAAGAAAGCCTTGGTTGGCTATTTGTCGCTATTGCCATACGTTTATCTACTTCATCTGATATCAGATGAAAACCAGTAATTTATAGAACTAAACAATAAGCTCATCATGGTGAACAATGCAATGTCATTTTAGAAATATGAGGGTGGGTAAGTTATCTTACTTTTCCGCGCTGTGCAGACTGTTATCCACAAGGAACCCTACGGTACTTGTAATCGGCAGCATTCGTTATCCCCAGTTTTTGTGTAGCCTCTGTAAAATCGGAAGCAGTCTTTTACATAAGGTAAATCGAGAGATTCTCTACAGGCTTTAGGGATTAAAATACCTAAAAATTCATCAATTTAAGGTAAATTTACTCGAAAAGCAATTATTGATTCACGACGGCTTTTTTTTGCATAGAAATTGGCGGCAATTCTAGACACTTGTCCTGCAAATTGGCTCGTCCAGATAAGCTCTAACGGTCAGTCGTTTTGCACCTTGTGGCATTTTTCAAGCCTTTTGGCCGCTTTGAACCCTTATATTTTTAGGTCTTTCGTCCTGCTATCAGCGCAAAGTTAATTTGCATCGAAATTTTCCGAATATAGATTATATGAGCAACACCTTGGCGAGTTTACGCCTACCTTGTGGCTTTACGTAGTGTCTTTGTGGCTTAACGCGTAGTCACTGTTGAAACGTTATTTGCGGGTACAGGAAGAAATATCTATTTAGTGGTTTAGGTCATGAATTAAAGCTGTAGATAGTGGTTATATTAAATAAACGTGGCCGCCAGAAATGTTGTTTCTGCCATTTTTGTTTGGGTACAGCTTTAGAAACAAACCGTAAGAGAAACTGTCACTTTAGACGAGTTATTTTGTAAACATCAGATAATGTCGATACGATTCATTGGAGTAGCAGTCTACTTGAATTGCGCTGTGGTACCGTGTTGCATCGTAGGCAGGCCTGTATTTTATTTGAACGTCGCCCCCACATCCGTCCATCCATCCATTGTAGAAACGTAGATATGCTCGTACGAATATTTCACATTGAAAATTCTCGGCTGATAAGATAGGCTTAAGTTCAAGTTTTCATTATTAATAGCGGACCAATTGCAAGACAAGAAAATACGAAGGCTAATGCTCGATGTTTAATTAGATAGATAACGTGCTCCAGTTTTCTATTCGGTGGGAGCCTGATAAGTTCGTAATTGCGCCTTGTGCGGCGCGAACTCAGTATTGCAATAGGAGTTATAAATGGACAGACATTTTTAGTGCGCCCAGTGGTGCACCTCCTGATTGTTTTACGATTGAAACAAAAAAAATACATATATACCCAGTTCTATACTATATGCATATATACTCCCTGACGTAGAAGAGCATCGCAGATTCCTTGCCCAAGCGGTGGCTGAAGCTTGTTTCATGCATACCTGTTTCTTCCTTGACGTGAAATAGTGTATTTTTTTCATCTAATCTATTATATTTTCCGTACGTTTTCACTACATCTCTCTCAACGCCATTAAGCACCTTTCCACGCTGACATCGCCTCGCATCAAAAGGAAGCGGCCAAGGTCAGCTGCTTTCCTAACAGACGATTCCTTTGTCCGCGTATTCTTTTTGTCGCTGTTGAAAGTACGTAACGAAAGTCGGAATCGGTTTGTTCGTGTGTATTTGTAACTTTTATCAGATAGCACCTGTTTGCAGTTTCGTGGCTTCACCACGGGTACGTGGCGTAAAGACTTGAGTGTAACCAATTTTGACGAAGAGCTTTCCCTTTGCACCCTTATTATACCCCAGTTCTGGACGGTCATTCACCTATGGCGTACCCTAATATTATTACCGACAGTTTTTCATGCAGGAGCAATAATTCAGGATGGAGCAAAGTGGCAAAGAAATTCATGTATGGATTTAATACGGGGAGACGGACATTAGGTCGAAATGGATTGTCCGGCCAATGACTTAGACAAAGCAAATTAAACTCCATGACAGCGAAATCTGAATGAAATTTTCCACTGTCCATCGTACTAGACGCGTAGTGGTATACGTATTGGCGTACGAACGTATTGTCCAATTGGCCTCCCTTTACAGGTTACGAATACAGAGGCGCGTGCGACATTGCCTACTTGCCCGCTGTATTGCAACGATCTGACGACGCAGCGCGTCCCGTCCGCGCACACGTCTCAACTTCTAGGGAAGTACACATATACTCTTAAACGTCAAAGGACTTTGCCATTCCACTTGTCGCTGCGGAGACAATAAACAGCTCAGCAATGGACCGCAGAGATTAATGCATCCATCTTCACTGCATTCAAGATAAACCGGGATACCTTAAAATTTATTGTTCGTGAATGCGTATTGCATTGTTCGTGTGTGTTTTTCTTTGCTTGCTTATTGGTACCTACCGACTACCAGCAAGTCCGAAAATCACCAAGATAAACTTTAAACATTTTCGTTTTCTAAATCAACGACGTGTACGGCAATGCTTTGGGGCGACGTGCCTGCTCTGCCGGGGGTTATCACGCTTGGCCCCCCATATCGTTGATGATCCCGAGATATGCTCGGAGCGGCCTGCTGCAATATTTGATAAATAGTGGCATTCTGAGTTGGACATGTGTCCCGTGATGCGGGAGTATTTCTACTGTGCGGGCTATCACCTCACGCGTGTGATTTCTTGTCGTGAGCACGGCCACTGCCCCATGTGACCCGGGCTGCAAAGGAGCTCCTCTTTTGCTAATTACGACAGTGGAGAGTTCGATAGGAAGAGGGCGAGTGCCAGCAACCTCGAATATATAAAGGAGTGCGGATCGAATCGGATCAGATGAATTTAAAAGTAGCATGCCGGATAGGTTTTCGCTGAATTACGTTTACATGCTGTAGTGTTTTATTGATAGTGTATGTTGTGTAGCTAAAGCCCAGCACGTTCTCGGGGATGAACTGGAAACACATGCAGGAGTTGAATAGAAGCTAGCCATATCTTTCAGCTTTGTCAAAACGAGTGCGCCACTCGTTTTCATTTAGCATAGCGGTTCATTCGACATGCTCGTCATGGTAAGATTCTAATAAAAAACACAAGAGACACATTGTTATGCTTATTGCTATGTTGGGAGCTGCCGTGAAAACTTCTATGAGTCGATCATGCTTCGTCTATTAGACCCCGGGCAGGTCTGTGGATTAATATATATGGAGTATAGGCGTGACTAGTTATTTGTGCTGCGTCAGTGATATAGGGGGTACTCACTTGTGACGGATTAATCGGTGCTAATCGAAATAGCAAAAGGTGAGAATTGTGTCTTCTTTTGTCGTTCGATTTTCACGCTGTTTTTATACATGCTGCGTCCTTCCTTCAACCCTTCAAATGTATTATAAAAAATCTTTAACGAAATTCTATGAAATAAAATCGTAAACCATCACAAAATAGGTTCAGTTAACCATCCAAATGGAAAACAATGTTTCAGCCTATTATGTAGCTGGCTTAAATTACTCAAGTTTCAGCTAGTGGGGCAGAATGTTTCTTGAGGTCAATGGCAGTTAATACTAGTAAATCTTTCCCCTCAACAAAGCGATATGTGGTTCTTGTTTTGTCAGATTTTTTGTTTAGTATCAGGCGTCATTACCTTGAATATCACAACCTTTCAGTTTCTATCATACTAGATTAATATGGCCTTATCCAATGGAAGAACTTGGAAACAGTCTCTAATTGAAACAGACCAGGATGCCGCTGCATATTGAGAGGTATTTACAGATACTGTTATTATATATGAATGGGAAACACACTTTTACGCAGCGAGTTATTTATACCTGAACTAACGTTCGTGATAACAACTAGCTCGCTTATTGTAGCGTGGTAAAAAAAAAATGTTACTCTAGCCATGCTACTACAGGAAGTAAAACCTAGACAAATTAGTACATATCATCTATGGCTGAATAATGGGAACGCTTCAGCTCGCTAGAATCGTCCCTCGGCCCAGTTCCTATAACCAGTTTATTTACGTTGAAATCAACAAAAAATACCTTGATTAGAACGTAGCCAAACAGAGACGCTTTGACTCGTTTTGTTATTTTTAGAACGTCTTACGTGAGCTGACGGCGTCCTCTCGTCGTTATCGACGGCTGCGAAGGACAAACTTAGACGAAGGGATCTTTGAAACTCAGGGGCAAGTTGGACGGAAAGAGATATCATCATCGTCAGTTAGTAGCGTCGGAACTCTCAACGAATCGTTCAAACGAATGCTTGAGCGGGACCCACGGCAAGCAGTAGGATCAGCAACTCATCTCGTGCAAGATTACATTATCATCGAAAGTCGAACATCGCATGTACGTATTTACAAAGCAGACCTGATGATCGCTTTCGGTGACCGTGGTGTTTAGGTGAACTGGCCTAGAGCTGGGTCACTGGGGGGCCACGAAACGACTAGTCATTTGGTTGCCGTATGGGCCAGCTGTGCAGATTGATAGGTCAAAAAAGACCGCCGTGTTCAAGTGCATGTCGCATAGATCACGACAATAAAAATGTTTCCTCTATTTTCTACGCGTCGCACCAAAGATTTATTCCATACTTATATAAGAATCTGTCATAACCTGTAATTATTGCATATTTACTACTGATCAAAGTGGTAAGCGAACCGAATACCAGTAATAATATTGAACAATTCGTTTTCATAAAAAAGATACGCTCTTCTCGTTGGCAGCTTACCACCATGAGACGAAAACTAGTCTGATATTAAAATATAGATACGCACTTTGTGGATTGCAATCTTTCTGTATGAACGCGAACGATCATACTTTTGTTTTGTACCTTCTGGCGTTTTTACGTCAGTCAACAACAGGAAATTTAATGCGACGGCTGGAGTTTGTAGGCGATTACGGGAATGTGATGTTTCGTAACAATGTCAGGTTCATTGAAGATATCTCATCAGTTTTTCTTCCACTAGAATATCAACAGGGATTGTCCCTATCCGTACCCTAGCAAAGCCTGTCATTCTAACGCGAATATACCTAATTAGTATCACTGTTATTATTGTTCTACCAAGGGGGCAATTGGAGTTAAACTAATCTCTCTGCGGACCTCTTAATGTCCCGACATGACTTTTTTTGATTGAAAAAATTTGAATTGCTTTGTTAGAAAGCAGTATGGAGAGGTTTTGAGGATGTTTTTGTTAATGATCCAAATCGCGTCGTGGAATATGGTTTACTGTTCCTAGATTACTCAGCCGCTTTATCACTCTTTATAGCGGCTTGGCCTCTGTTGCAATTGACTCCGACTGACTGTCAGTGGGCTTTGTTCATTCCGCAGTACTAATGTTTCTGAAAATCTCCGCACACCCTACTCCAGCCAGCCAAGGACGTTACGTACCTGATAATCGTGCATGCACATAACCATGCATAGCTCAACTGTCAAATAGGAGTTGTCTAGATAAGACTGTCAAATCACCGTTGGCATCGACGAAGACACAGCCACCTGTTCAGTGGCCTATATGAAATTCGGAAAAGATAATCAATGGAGACACAGCGTTTGTTCTACCTCAAACTGTAGACATACGGCCGAAGAGCCGTCTTCGTAGTTGCCGATACGAACAAAATAGGGAAAAAAAAACTATTGATGTATCGTAATGAAATCAAGCAGTTTTAGCCAGTTGTTGATTGCGTTTCCAGTCTCTTACCCCAGTGGAACGGGGGTACCATTTGGATATTTACAGTACACACGATCGGATTCGAGGTAGTTAAATGGTTAGACTTAATAGTTTTTCCGCAGAATTAAACTGACTCTTTACCACTATGCGTTGCATTCTTCGACCATTCTGTTCGGATCTTGTACTCACTGCCACATAGTTTCTTCTTTAACTTTCTTTCTAGATTATTCATTAATTTTTTTGACCAAACTTGTCGACGCAGAGTTGTCTATAGCCGTTTTACGTAGGACGTATTGACAGAATTAGGATACGCGCTACATTGCAGGCAGATCCTATATTTCCCGTATCCAATAGCGGTGGCAAGCGCTTCGACGTGGGAAGTCGTAGCCTCTCTCCCTTTACACCGCTGGATTCAAGTGTTGACGAAGATGATATCTGGACCGTCTCTATTGAGGCTCCGAATTCTCATAGTGAGCCCAACGTTCCCCTAAAACCACCCATAAGAACCCATCATCGACTCTACAAAAGCACTCTAAACAAGTAAGTCGAACCTCCCGATCCAGTTGCTTAGTCTGAAGCGTTTGATTGCCTTAAGGAATAGCTGGTTGCAATCGATCCGACCATTTTTCGTCATATACTATTTTGAATATGCGCGCCGTTTATTGAGTGACAGCAAGCAAGCTTACGTAAGTATCTGAAACTGCCGAGAGACGCATTAGTTATACTACGCCGTGTATGAATGTGTTCGACTACGGAGAAGTATTCAAAACTCCGAAAAATGTGCAAATTGCAGTTTTTAGCGTCTTCAGTAATCAAATGGCTGTCGTATTGCCGCTGAGCCTGTGGGGTGAACGCTGATTCTGTGCGTTCCTCATTACGATTCGCCCACTATATTGAACATTTCTTGATAAATCAATGCGCGCAGCGCATACCCCCTCGCGGAAACGGCGTCTCCAGAAATAGTGCAGCAAGCAGCTGCAATTCGCAGATCATTAACTCATTGTTGTGGGTCTGCCTCACTGTGCACAACCATCGCCTATTTCTCTAAACGTTTTTTAATTTTGATTTTTTTTTCGTTGCTTATTAAGGCGACTCTTTGATAATTTGAAAGTGCCCCTTACCTACTGATTTTTAGAAGCTAGCGCCTTAAACAACGTGGAACCTTTTATTTAGTAGAATAGAACATGCTGTCCGGTTAGGAGTTCACTTGTATGCTAATGTAAAATTCTGTAGAAGCTTCTAATTTCCAAATATCTAGCTTTTATAATAGAACTCGCTGGCTCAACTCAGCGTTATTTCACAGACTAATACATTCTATAGCCAAGACATTGAATGAATTCTGAAGAAGTCTCCCCTTTATATTACATAGCCTTACGAACGAATTTCCCAATGTCGTGTTTAACGACGCAAGTCGCAATGTAAATTCAATTGCTTGTAGTGTATAGAGAAACCTAATTTAATCATTTTTGTATAGTAATACTATGCGTACTATATATATATATATATATGTGTGATTGTTATGGCGGTGTTATCATTATCAGCCCTATAGCTTTTTTCGTTTTGTATAGTGTGCTTGTAAGTTGAAAGCCCGTGGATCTAGCGATTTCCCTTGAATGGATTGTGCAGTCACGCAACTTCTAAGACTGAACGCCAAACGGTACTTTTGAAGATCTATCAAACTGAAAAGTCGGTGAAAACAGAATGCTCTATTCGTCATACGCTAGAGCTAATGTTTGAACGCTATTCCGGACCTTACCTCAATCGTTTATGTGTGTATTGGAAACTGCAAGACAAAACGACAAAAACATAGAGGCAATCGTTTGGTACAAAGCGCACAGCACTAAAAACTGACAATGGAAAAAGCTGTTCGGGCTATTTATAAATCAGTTTTTTCCTAATTCTCAATTAGCTTTCAAGGCGGAGAGCTCCGCTGAAACACTCATGATTGTTCCCAATAAGTTCAAGATTTGTAGTGCGATATTATCATTCTAATGCTGCACACTTGAAAAAAAGATATATCCTTACTTACAAGTTGAAAAGTGTGGCGACCGATGCCCTCATCAATGCACGTTCATGTCGTTTTCTTTTCTTTCTTTTTTCGGAAATATATAGTCGGCAATTTCTATCAACGGATCTTATGTTTTGGATATCATACTGAAGAAACTGACTTTTGCTGCTCGCAAAGCTTCAAAATATGTACAAAGGTTGGTCTAACGTTTTCTTAATGTCCAAAGAATAATAATAGTAAATCTTTACGATGCACTTTGACTCGACAATCACCTAAAAAATGTTTCTTATATTTCATGTAGAGCCAAAGCGAAAAAGATCTGGCTACAACTGGCGGCAAATTCGTGCTGAATAAGCCATGTCTGCTATCGCGTATGGGAAATTAAGGTCAACATGCGCATGGCTAAAATTAATTACATCCTTATAAAAGTATGTTATGACATTATGTCAAGAAGATTGCCTGAAAGCTATTTCTTCAGCGGATAGAACAAAGCGAGGTTAAAATGAGGGCTGCTGTATTGTCGTAAGAACGCTTCACAGGCTATTTGTATGAAGAGAACTCAACTCCAAGGGCATGATCATACTGAGTAAGATTTACAAAGTTCATAATAGACTGTGTTGCCAATTCTCGTCGTCACTGCAGATAGCTAGATGTACTTAATAAAAATTCTTTAATATTTTGACGTTCGACGGTCCCAGAATCTGACCTGATAAATACCGAAGAGAGTGAACTTGATACACTAGAAACTTATGGTACAGCCTAAAAGAAAATATTGTAAAATATTCGTATGTTCTTAAAAATGGTGCAGCTTAATTTTGTCCAGTCAGTAGACGGTCGTTGGCTACTCTCTGTCCACTTGTATGATGAGTAGTTGATTAAGTGACTACAACCTTCAAAGGGAAGCCTGATAATTATGACGCATCCATAGATCATCTCGTTATCAATAGCAAGATAACTGTCTCCTACATACTGCCGAGAGGGTGCTCTATATGACAGCTATACTTAAGGAAGTTACTAAGTTTCTACCCGAACTACTAATATGTACCTGCCTAAATCCGCTCGGTTCCCTTGAAATTAATTATTAAATGTGGACTTTCAATTGTGGGGAGAACCAAATAAGTATTTTTTGGGCAGAGCCTTTAATCCCCAGGTTTGACGCAAAATGACAGTAGAACAAAGTGATATTAGTCAACTGTCGGCAATCACGGGTTTTCTTTTAGGCCAGTTTACGAAGGGGTGAAAATCAATCACCCGGTCAACATTGTCGGATAAGCGTATCTCAAATCAGCAATGTATTACTAATCCAAGATTGGCCTAAAAATTCCTCTAACAATTTTTCACTCAAATAATTTGCATAAATTTCAATCAAATAAGATTTTATAATACACGATAGGTTTGCCTGATACAAATAAATAAACGTTCGGGTATATATTAAGTATGTATTTTATTTCATTACCTAGAAACTAAATATGATATAGCACGAATGGGATGGGTTAAACATTACGTTTGTGTTGAGCCAATGACAAAGTCTACGAAATCACAACGGCCTACATCGATCATTTACATTCACTCCAAACTGGGTAAATGCTAACTAAGTGTATCATGTGGAATAAGCACTTCCTTTGAAACAGCTTAGATTCGAAAATGTTTCATTGGCAATGTGCGTATCCCTCAAAAAAGAACCAAAAGCCTCGTATAACTCAGTTGGAAGAGCGGATACGAACCACCATCAATTAATATGCCAATTATTGCTGAGTCATTTAGACGATCGGACGTAGAAACGAATGGGTTTCTTTTCTGCTGAGTTGAATATTGCTTATTTCTTCTATATTCACGACCACATTTTTTCTCTCTTCTTTACAATAATGTCTTTTATGTACGGTATATCTAATAACAGGTATATATGTATAAGATGAAAAAGACGTTGTACTTGGTTATGAGACGCTTCAAGAAAGATGATTTACTTATGGCTCAATGCTTATCCCATGTGGATTGAGCGTAGGGCTCAGTGTCGACGTTAGGACTTGTTTCCGTTGAAGTGAGGCATTACATAGATTCGTCTCTGACAGATAACTTCAAACCGACTTCGATCCTCGTTTAATTGACTACGGTCGAATAGAAGGTAGCAACGTGTGCCACCTGATCAACTGGCCAGGTTCATATCTGTCAAATTCTGTAGCGTACTCGACGAACTAGGTTTCGAGCGGATAGGGTTAGAGCCCCTCCAGGTCGCCTAAGCACTCCACATGTTAGCATCATCTTATTTCTGTGGCAAGCTATTTAGCCTGACTTTCAGAAGTCCTCTATATCGCACGATACGAAGCTGTTCGTGTACTGACTGACCGGTGTGTTTAAGCCACTCCTAGGGCCAGAACATGTTAAGCGCTTTTAAAGAGCTTGCTGTGCAGGTTTAGGATTGAGCCGGCCTTATTCAGACGCGAGCTTTAAACAGGGCAAGTGGCGCCGACATCCACCGCCATCGACAGCCTTTCTCAGCCCTACAATTTCGCACGGGCCTTTGGCACTGTTCCATGAAACAATTGGATTAACTCTACACACCAATGGGTTATCAAGCAGTCAATTTGATCAACATAAATTGACATACAAAACACATTCTGCTTCATTTCACGGAACTATTTAGAATATTCCAAAACATCGAATTAATATTGCCGTATAATAGTTACTATGCTTTTACCGCTTATATAGGAAAATTTATAGAATAGTTATCGAAATATCCAACAATAATAAACTTAATCTACGATACAATGTGCATGCTACAAATACAGCCCCCCTCACGTTGAATCGTGAGTCCGGTTTGCTGTACAAAAGTAATATATACAGTATAAAAGTGATATACCATTAAGCTGTATCACTTTTATACTGCTTATAAGGCTCATTTTATTATTTCATGCCAATATGAATCGTACAACGATGCTACCTATTTTAACCTACACACACTGACTGTATACGATTGTTTGTAATTAATACCTATTTGTTTCGTTTTTGATTTTTTTGATATAATCTTTCTACGCTTCTGCTAACGAGGTTAAACATTTGACGATTCAGCCGGTTGGCCTCTTCCAGCGCAAGGCTGAAGGTCTTCCTTCGTAATTTCAAGTTTGTCAGAAACTTTTTCCATAGCTGACTCTCAATTTTTTTTTTCGACAGGCCTCGGTCGTCAAGATTTCCCTGACAGAATAAAAGGCTATACGGGCAGTTTGAACGAATTCTCTCTTTGCTATCTTTCCTATTGCCCGTATTTTTACGAGCAGAAATTTAAAGATTCTCTACTCATAGGTTCGGACCCAATATACTGTCGTGTCCATAAGTTTAGCTAGAAAACATGTTACTCCCATCACAGACACAACATTTTTACTGGCTCGCGTATGTATTTACATATATTTTGAGGGTATTTTTTTCCCAAAGCCACATTTGTTCTTTCTTTTTTCCATCCTGATTATATTATATGTGTTACACTCAAGAGCCATTTCCAATGTAAGTTGTCCAAGAAAGGATCCAGGTTAACGGCCTTTTCCAAATCACTATGAACTTTTATCAGCAATGGCTTCTCATATATTGCATATAACGTAACGTATACGCCATCAGATGCATAGTCAGCATAGTGACTGCCGTCGTGGCCGCTAATCACTTTGCCACCAGCGCCTCCTTGAATCTCGATACGATTGACCTTTCAGCCCTTCACAACTACTAGATATTTCGTTATCGTTTTTATACTAATTGCCCTTCTTCTCTACGCCACCTTCATCTTTCGTCGCTAAATATAATCCCTATCGTGATATATGGACTGCATGTCGCCAGCTTGACCATGCATCCTGCCTACCTGGGTAGCGTCGACGCTGAAACCGTCGTCCTGCTCCCTCCACTTGCTGGAGGCGCAAAAGCCATTATTCGAGTCTGAGCGTCTTGCATCGTGTCACAATTGCAGGTGAAAAGACCGCACGTTTTGGAAACAACGACATAGTAAAACGCTACGTGCTAATGGTATAGAGTCAAATGCTATATCAAATAGATAGAAATGTCCAGAAAGTTCTCACCGTTTCATTCGCACAATGCCTCGCTAGTGGGTTTAATAGTGGCCTGACTGACAAATAATTGTTTAGTTGTTGTTTTGTAAATTATTCTACCAAGTAATGTTATCTAACGCGAACCAATGGCCGACTAAAGGTATGACGACATTGTTGTATGAAGTCATTTACAAAAATATAGTATTTTTGTACGAAACTATCACGATAATAGGCGGCAGTGACGACACAAGGACAAGCCAATAATTTACTGCGTCAGTTCGTTTAACACCTACGTGCGCCTGGCGCGGCAAAAACTAACTTTGTATCGTCGCTATCCAGACAGACGCGCACGGTCGTACCGCTTGTTATCGTGATAATTTCGAAAAGTTATTTTGAAGAGATAATTTCGCCGGGCGTACATAGGTGTTCAACGAACTGGACTATGAATGTATCTGCGCTTTCAAAAAACGGTCGATCAAGCGGTCAAGCAATCGACAAAAAATTACTATAGGCTGAACCCACGGCGGCTTAGGGCCGCTTTTTAGTCAGCGGGATCCTCTAAGAACTTGACGTAGCGTGTGCTTCCAGAGGTTCCCTTCGAGAAATGTTTGCGGATTTGTGATTAAATGTCTACCATGTGAAATACAAAGAGAGTAAGTTACAACAGTGCCTTCTTGCTCAAAATTGTCAAAACTGAATTATGTGAGGGGTATTATAGTTATAAACGTGCGAATGCAGTATACGTGATATTTTAGGTAAGAAGTGAAAAATGCTACCTGCCCAGAACATATTCTAAAGTAATGATTATATCTCAGGGATTAAATAAATATACTAGCTCAAACCTGTAATTGTACGAATTTAAAAATTCGTTATAAATAAATAAATAAGTTTTTTTCCGAAGTACTCATCTATGACGCTCACTGAATGTACAATCATTTGACGTAAACGTCATTTTTCGCGGATTGATAAGATACTTTACTTACGATGTAAAGTAATCTGGCAATTACTATATAATTAATAAAAACAACTCATGTATTCCATCAACGTCTACACTAAACAGTTATGGATTGTTAGCAAAGGATCTTAATCTTAAGGCAAGTTTTGCAAAGGAATACTATAGAGCTTGCCCACCGTTTTTTTTTCCAAGTTATATTATTTTTAAAAGTAATAACAATGATTCGCATAATGCAGATATAACGTCCTGAAAAATAGAACTTGACACAGCTCTATCTCCGCGTCTACGGCACTGTAAATCTAAGTCCATAATATTTGCCAAAGAATTTTGAAGTTACCTAAAGTAGTTAATATTAACGATGAGATACACAAGATGTTTGTGTACAAATTCTGTCGTCGACTGTATTATTATATTTGAAAATGTGCTTATTATGGCATAAGAATAAGGGAATTCTAATAGCTAATATCCTAGACCTTCGTCTTCAAAGTTTAGTAAATAGTGAAATAGTCGATCATGAGTCGGACCTCTCGAAATCGACAGGCACTTGGAATTAGGTCCGTGTTAGGGTGACTTGAAAATGTGCAATATTTGGCTAACAAAGCAATTTTACGCCATTGATCTTTTTGCTGAAAGTTAGAAAATTGCCGCAATATACGGCGTTTCCGTATGGTAGTAATAGAACCTGGCACACATATGGAAACATTCAACAGAAACATTTTTAAATGTTTAAACATTTTTAAATGACCACGGGTGGGTTTTGACAGCCGAGATTGATGATATTTTTATTTCTTTTAAAATTTTTGTTACTTTTAAAATTTTTTTTAACATTACTTTTAGATCAACTGCAGGATAACTGCCTTCATTCTAAGCCATTACTGGAGGCTTACAACAGATGTTGATATAAATATTGCTAATAAATGCCCCATAATAGATATATTTAACCCACTAGTAACTGCTTTTTTCATTTACTACAGTAATCGGTCAGAAACCCGGAAGTGTCTTTTTGTACAAATCTAGCCGTAAGCTATACCATCATTTTCAGTAAAAACTATGAAAAAAAAAAGAATGAGGCTATATACACAGACTGTCCAGTTAATCGAGAACAAAACATTCAGGCAAATAATAACTGTTCGATTTTCAATAAAAATAATAATAATCATTATTGCCTACAGTTTCATTTGTTTGACCATTTTACCAGTCAGGCAAGCCCCTACAAAACAGTAAGCCTATGTAAACAAATATTTTTCTATGAAGTTTACCCAATTAGCACGGAGACTAGGCCCTAGTCATTAACTACGCGATACTTTAACGAAGCTATGGGTTGTTTTTGACAAATGCTTTGTTACCACATAATGGTCTTAGCACATCTTCTAAACACTACTTCAAGCACCTCGCTGGATGACTCCAAAGTGTACTTTGCTTCATAGCTTAATTATCACTTTTGAAAGTAGGTTATTTATTATCAAAAGAGTCAGACTTGTAGCAGTAGCAAGTGAAGTACTCTTCGAAACGCAAAGAATATTGTATTTTCGCAGACGGAGAACACCCGCACAAATATAAACGAAAAAGCCAATTGTACATTAGTGTTCTTTACGCATTTTAAGCCTCAATAACCGTAGCATTCGACGGAGACTTAGCACTGAACCTCGCAAAATCTGCTTGTCGGACCCTAACTAGATTGGGCCTGCGTTTGATAAAAAAAAAAACCGGTTATTGTTGATGTCCTCTTTTATTTAGTGTTACAGGTAGACACTGTAAATCGACTTTCGTTTTACGCTACAGGACATCCTGTGTCGGAAGCACTCAGTCTAAATAGACACTGATTATCTATTTTCCGCGTCCCCCCTATTCGCTTGTCGTCATTGGGATCGTTTTCTTGAAAGATCGAATCAAGAATCAGCAGCTGTCAATAACGTGATTGCTTTCATTTTTCTGCATCTTCAAGGGCAACGTTAAAACGGTCCAGTGAAGCGGCTGAGTCCAGTCACTTGGCGGACCAACTTGAGACAACGCGAGCCGCTCTTAAAGAAGAGCGTCAACGCAGAAAAAAACTGGAAGAATCGCTCCGCCGTCTTCAAAGAAGGTCATCAAGGGTCCTCAGCACTCCGTCTGAACCGGGATCATCTGCAGAAATTATTTCACCGCACTATGTACTTATCGGTATGTTCGAAATTGTTTCTCTACCAAAAGAAAAAGGACACGTAATAATCCTGTGCGGACTGCTTGTTTTACGTCGTGCACGTTTAGAAAGCTCGTTCATTGTTTTAACGGAAAATATCTGAAATCGGCTTCGAATTCGAACGTCAGATAAACTACTAACTTTTGTTCAACTTCAATTGTCATTACTGACGCACTTATTTTTGCGCTGAAGTCGCGTCTGGAGATATAAAACTCCAAAGTTTGTTAAGTGTAAATTATTGTTTTAGTTCTAGATCGATTTTGGAAGCGGCCCATCTTTTTAACACTGAAGTATTAATATTCTTTTCTCTAAATCTGATGCCCGCCTATTTATTACCCTAAGACCATACACAAGCTAACTCTCTTGAACTACACGTACCCGCTCCCGTGTATTATAGCTGATCGATTCGAAATTTAACTTTTCAATCAGTCAAACTTTAACCATGCAGTAATAGTGAATAGATATATCAAAATACCGACGATAGTCTTTCATGTGGATACAATGATCGTACAGTTGCTAACTATAAGAAACACCGTGGGAAGTCTCAATACATCTACTAATAGTAAACAACTCTATACGCTAGTAGCTATCAGCTATCGAGATTCACTTAAAATCAACGATATGCGTCTGCTATCCAATAAGCGCGGCATAGCTTAGACCGGTGGTGTTCGTGCTACGAATATGCCCCGTTGACGTCTGCGGCTTTTGGCCACCACATACAAGGGCTCATCCCAGAATCCTTCCTTGAGCCACGCGTTCTTCGGTTCCGATAACTGCCGCCTTCTGTTCTTTCGCACAATTTGTTGTTTGGGTAAAAAGAGTAGAATAAATACTCATCATTTGGGCAGCTTCTTTCCGGTCGAAATCTATTCGCCGAAATGAGACGAAAAGCATAAGCGTCCTTTTTTCCATTTAGAACTCAACGAATACTGGCTAGTCCCATGGGGGGTGAGTGGTGATGCGAAACGACCGAGCTCGAGCATGGAATCCCAAATCAATTAGTTCCTCTAATAGTAGAGGTCCGTCTGTGTTATGAGCTAAATAGTCCTATTTTCATGATTAGTAAATATAATTGCTTTAAATGAGATCTTCCTAGAGCATTATTTTTCATAATCGACGTATGTCTAGATATTTAAGTGAGCACAACGAGAACTGATAGTAACATGTTGATGCCCAACTGGTCGTAGACTAGTATCATTGCTCGCTATTTCTTTTCCGTTTGTTGTTGGACGGTTGCGTTCAATTTCACAGAACAACAGCGGAGTCAATGGCATGATTTTTCTGCTGTCTAACGTCAGTTATCCGAATTAAGGAAAAGTCTTTAGAAAGCGTAGTGTCTGGCCCGGGATACAAACAGATTCTATGGACGTTTACGTTCGCGACCTTTGGGGCGAATACTAGACTCACTTACACTAAATAGTACGTAGGCTTACGAATAGCAAAATAGATTTGCCCTTGATGCAAAAGTAGGTTACAGTTCTAGTGGTTACATGTTTTGGTGATAAAAAAAAAAAGCTACTGATTTTGAATGGGAACGGATTTTTCTGATCTTTAAATTTACGTTAAACCTACAGCATGCCCGTTTTGGCGTTTCTCGCCTTTTCCTTCACATACCAAATAATAAGTGATTTAACATTATTTTGGCTCAAATTGGTTCACATCTTATCGAATCAACGAGTTAATGGTAATTATTAACGAGTAAGGTTAATACATAATTAATAGAACAGTAATAATAATAATTTTACTGAAAAAGCAGTGGCATCGAGAGAAAAGTAATTGTTACTTTTACGCAATTATTTTTTATTAAACAATGATAATAAATAAAAAAATAAAATAGACTCTACCATTTATAATAAGCACAAAATGGCGGGAGGTTATTTCACAGTGATATTTACAAATGACGTCACGTCTATATATACAAAATACATTTGGCGTTGGCTTGACAAACGGAAAAAGTAGTGATATGAAAATAAAACGCGAAGATCTTTACGCATTGTCCTTACACGTGCCTAAAATTGACCAGTTTTATATAGTTTGCAGGTCAGTGCACTCGATAAACTCCTCAGTTGATAAAACCTCCTTCTAGATGAGAATCATATGTTTTTTGAATTACCTTAGCATAGGTGCGAATGGGCTGCGGTAAACCCTTTGAGAATTAACAGTTTTTTTTTTATTTATTATGTGGCTTACCTTAGTCTTTGTGTTCAGCTGTATTTACGGTCAGGATTTTGTAATTTAGACTTGTTCCACTAATTAATATCCATGATCCATCGTCATCGATCAGTCGAGGGGGTCATTGATGCACACAAACGTTGATACACCAGCTTGCTATACGAAACTGGCGTACAAAGGAAAATCACTACCGACGCTCGTTAAATCCGAAGCGCACAGAATATTTCGCTGTACGCGTATGGTCGAGACTAAGAACTTTTCTGTTAGCATAATAAAATAGAATTTATTATGGCCATCGAAGAAATAATGGTCTGTAGTGGTCTGAGGTAACCAGCCTAGCTTATTGTTAAAAAAAAGTTTAGGTAAAATGAGTCGACCCCAATCACAGATTTCGAAATTACGTATACTCACTGCTATAGGACTTTTAGACGAGTTATTTTTAAGTGGAGTGCTTGATCTCACACGCATGTCAAGCCGGTGCTGTCGTCTCGGGATATTATCTTTGAATTAAGTAATTATAACAACGTGTACCCTTTTTCGATGCAGTGCTTTGCTAAATAATAGAAATCTTTCGATAGATAACGTTGAACTCTGGTGATTACTACTAAATTTCGACAGATATATTTAATGTTCGAGATTGAGGGCTCCCTAAAGGATAGTAAACAGTTACTTAAGGTAATGGTTCAATAGATTCGAATGTGTATATTGGCCAAGGTACGGATGAATTGATTTTACGGCGCAACAAACCCGAACGTATCAGACTGAGCAAAACATTTATGTTATTCGCCATGACGCCAAACTATAAAATTACACAATAATCGAAAATTTTTTTGCCTAAACGCAGCTTTCAGTTACGTTAAGGTTGCGTACGCTTACGTAAGTGTTCAAGAGTGGTGCTGTGTCTTTATGACGTGCGCTACTTGGAAAAAACGTGTTTCTTCGCGCAGGCGGCATAGGTGCCGTGGTAGGATAACGGCAAGCGTTTACGTGCTGGTGCCATTAACGGTTACGTTGAATTTAAGATGAAAAAAAAAATTGCTGATTACAGCACTGAACATAGGAATTTTTAACAAGTATTATAACTGATATATTAATCAGCTTTAGTTACTAATCGCAGCAATTTGAAGTGGTTTATCGCTGTACCAGTTAAAAGAAGCTTTTGTAAGCGTTAACTCTATTACATTTTCCCCTTTCAATTGCAGCTTATGCCGAAGAAGTGAGTCAAAGAACGGCCGTACAACTCGATCTGGAAGGAAAGGACTACCTCATTGAGAAGATGCGAAAGAGCCATGTTTCGGGTGACTCCGCTCCAGTTGAAGGTGCTTTTGTTCGGAGTTAGGCGTTCATTATTTCGAAAATTTTGCCTCATTCCAGAAATTTTCGATTAGTAAAATATTTGTTGTTAGGATGCACGCATTTGCAACACAACAGTATGGCAAAAAGGCTCCTTGTTCTCAGAAGCGGCAGAAGTGAGATAAACAGTCTTTAATTTATGTCGATAGAACGCCTAAACTAATAATCATCTGTAACTGTTCTTATTTGATAATTACATCTTTCTTCAGGATGGTTGGAGGTGTCGCCGAGTTGTGGACTTCACGAAGTTTGGCGTGAAAAATACGTTGCTCTATCATCTCGAAAACTTCTCTTTTTCGACTCATCCGAGGTAAGCAGTAGAGCGTCTCTAATGAACCATAGGGTGAGAGAAATTTTTTGCAGCATTTACTATTTCGCGATTACGATATAGCTACGTTCATTCCATTATCGAACGTTAAAATTTCAAATTGTAGCTTACAAATAAACAGTTTCAGTATGAGTCGTCGTGGCAGTGTTTCTCATAACGCCGTTTTGAACGGTTTAACACACCCTTGCGTCTAAATTATTCTTCCGTATTCAATGAAGTTTTCTAAGTCATATACCCTTCGCTATGAAATGTTCGATACTATTTGAATATATGGGCTCCCAACACGCAGCAAAAATTTTATCTTGAGCGAAAATCATAACAAAAAAACGTATTGGAACCGAGGATTTTCCACAAGGTTACCGTAAGAACACGTTTTTAAATATTTATATATATATATACACGTGTGTATATTTTGTGTGTACGTATGATTACTAATCAGTGTTGCGTTTATTTGATCATCAGGATTTTGTCAGACAGCGGCCAAGTCGAGTAATCCAACTTGATAAAATTATCACAGTGCGTAACGTTCAAACTGATATGTATGGAGCATTCCGAGCAACTTCTAACGATCAACGGTAAAAATTATTTTTAGTGATAACTTTAATGGGACTACTACTATATAAGTTGACTATAATGTGTCGTAGCTATGTTTTAACATTTAATCATTCATAATTTTATTGGGAGTTTCTCTATCCAGTACAAGCTTTTTCTGACGATTTTGCAAAAGTATAAGTACAATGTTATATATATATATATATATTTGTTGTTCTTTCCCTATAATTTGGCCTTAATTCGTATAAATTTTATTGTACTGCTTTACTAAATGTTGCGCTTCTTGTTGCAGCTGTATTCAGGTGTCCTACGCCGCTGAAGGTGAAACAAAGGCCATTCACATTTTTGAGAAAACTCGTGATTCCGAGAAATTGTTGCGGAGTTTTTTTGATTACAAACAAAAACAGAAATCTAGTAGAATACTCTATATCAGGTATGTAGAGTAATCAGAGGCTTACTGTTGTTGCAGTTGAAAAACTCAAACATAGTACTTGTATGCATGGGCCTTCGGGCTAGGAATAAAGGCCCGACTATATATCCTAACTGCCAATATTTATATTATTACTACGTAACATCATACGTTTTACGAAAACTGATCTCACGTTCAGTCTTCAGAATACGAAATCAAGTAGCGTGATGGCGGCGCAACACAAACTACGCGGTCCTGTCGTTAACATTGTCAATTCTAATAAAGTGAATTTATTTTTGTAAGCGCTTGCCGTCCCGTTCTGTTTAAGCCATTCAGGTTTAATTATTGTTTAACTAGGTTAATCTTTCTGTGCGGGTTCAGGTCGGCCTTCGACTTCGGTCTCAGTGACCATTGCAGTTCAAGTCGGCCTTAGACCTAATAGAAAAGTAGAAGGAAAAACAAGCCCATTATCGGGTTCGAAAAAACCACCAGCTGAAGTAAATATATCAGTTGCACCTATTACAGGACAAAGACCTACCGTGACAAACAACAATGGCTTAAGAGACTTAAGACGCGACTGGCAACATGTCCTTACACAGGCAGCGCCTGTATGGTCGGGGGCGCGCTCCTTCATTGCTTACACAACCTCAAAGAATTCTCTGGTGCAGGGGACTGAGAGTACCGCTATTTCAACTTCAGGTTCACTGGGGAGAGACTCGAGTCACCGCGAACTGTTGTACTAATGACTGTGTCTAGTTGAACCGGAATGAGACACCGTCTACCGTCACAATGAGGAAATTATCATCCGTTGACGGCCTCAAACATTTCGAAACAGCTGGTCTGTCCATTGGCGCCTTGAGCATTTCGGCATACTTCAGCGTCGGTCTTTAAAAAGAATAGCTTTTGGTATCGACAGAACAAATAGCCGCTCATATACCACGCTTTGCGGGAGCTCAAACTGCCTATAGTTTTGAACTTTTGGCGCGCTTGCCAATCAGTGCTACAGTAAATTAGTCCGGGCAACGCGGTACGTATTAGCGAGAAAAATCATATCAGCAGATATTTAACACTTGTAATTGTTTTAGGTAGACGTACTTTGTGAAATAAGGCAATTTCTTATTACCTATATATATATATATATATATCGAATTAATGTTTTTTATTTAATTCGTAATTCTTGCATATACATATGTATGAACACACATGTTGTTGCATGTGTGCTTGGGCCCACGACCTTCGCTCAATGATCGAAATTTCTGCGAGTGAATCCTCTTCAACGTTGTGCCCATGGATACAGAGCATACCGATGGCTTACGCATAAACTGATTCATAGTTCAGGGTAAATCAAATTGAGTGTATTCGCGCAATAAAAGAGAATATTTTGAAGGATCTTAAGGAACAGAAAACTAGTTGACGTTTAGAATAAATATTAACACAAAAACGGTAAGCCTCGCACCTTTGTGATTCCTTAATACATATTTATTATCCTAATTTTACATAACGTTGGTAAAGTGAAATGTTCTCGAATTAAGAAACCGTATGCTGCAAGCTTTTTAGCTCATTTGGGCTTCGAGGTCCAGCTTTCGGTTCAGTCATGCTGTTTTTCAGACGTTTTCAGTAAGTTTCTCCAGTTGGCCCCATAATGGCGCAATAACAAAGTGACTTAAGATAACTGACATGAGTGACTACTGGACATGTGCAATAGTCTGGGTTAAAAACGGGGCATAGATTCGTGTCTGAAGCGATGCTTAACGTCTATACTGGTCATAACGTCCAAGATAGTCTTTCGTTTTGTCAATGTGGCTAGGTAATTTGTAAAAACGTATAAACCTGTGATCTGTTCTAAGTGAACGTCGAAAAAGCCATGCGTTTTGGGCTGAAGGTAAACGTTGATTATTTCTTCTGTTGTTTCGATTATTTTGGTCAAATGTCAAAAAGGAACAGGTGAATTTATATGTTCAATAAAACGAAGATACAAATCAGTGAGCCATGACATGGATCTTTGACTGTTGTTTACTGGACAGTGATAAGTAAATGGTACGATATTATTATAATAGGGTAATAAATACAACCTTCTAATATTACCGTTAATTGTTCGGCCAGTTTTTTTCCAACTGTAAATCTACGTGTTTTCTCTTTAGGTAAATCTAAATCGACGCGATGCTAAAATGCTTAATTTTCACAACAACTTTTTTTTATAACAACTTTTCAGAAAAATCAGCTCGAACGGCTGATGCTCTATCGAAATTATCAATACGCAATGCTTTGGTTTTAGGAACATTTTGTTCACTCTGTAGACGCTAACACAACCACTTAAATATCCTCCACTAATCTCGCTTATGGAGATCGACAATACTGAATCTCGCGTCAACTCAAAAGGGTTTTTCGTTTGAAGAAAATACCTACTGATTATTTATCACGTACCTTAAATATGCATGGCCTTAGTTGTTTGAACTACACAAAATAATTGATTGGACGAAGTGGCGTCATCTAGATGGCTAATGCCGGTCTCCTAGAGACGCTTGCCATGGCAACCAAGAACATGCGTTCATCGTTTATTTACATTTCAGCGTTAGTAAAACAGTTACTATGGCATCTGACTAGCACGCCGTTTCATAGGCGTATTAAAGAAGTTTCGGATAAGTCCAGCAAGATCCGCTCCGGCTAAGGCTTTTTAATGGAAACAACCAGTTAACACTAGAACAAGAAAGATCGAAGTTTAGCACGAACTTCTAGATGGTAGATAGGGTTTATTTTTTTTTATTTTTTTTTATAGTGACTGTAAAAGGTTAACGCAGTAAAGAAAAACACGATTTGCATAATTATATGCTACGCTACTAATTACTTGTATTTCCTTATTTTTTACTTGATTTTAACATACACGATCGGCACATCTTGGCTAGAATTGTTTAGCGCATGTGTGTATCGCCCCCATTTGATTTTTCTCCGTAATCATAATAATAATAATTGTAATTATCTGAATAATATATTCCGGATCTTTCGTATCGTAGACGTAGACTAGCTCTAACTGTTTCATCGAGTCATCTTTGGCTTCTTGTGACGTTATTCTTTCAGTTATTAATATATTAATGTTATTGTTTCATGATAAATTTAATTCAGTCTGTTTCCACCGATACTTTTTTAAAAGCCGGGCTTATAAAACTCGACCGACTGATTCAGGTGCCTGCACTAAATCGCTCTCGCATTCTATCTCCTTCTAGATGGGATGGGTTAAATCAAATTAGGTAAGCTTAAATCTAACGAAATATAACGGGCCTCAACGAGTAATTAACTCATTCTTCGAGGGATCTCTTATGACTTCTTGAAGCCTTTCCGCCCATTAATTAATAACATAAATAGCGATACTATTGTTAGGTGCCAATAAAGTACGGCTTATTTAAAATATCGCATCCTTCCATAATCACTCTCCTACGATTAGTGTCATCACTAGAATGGTTGATTATAATATCAATCAGTCACTATGTATGTGACTACTGCTACTACTAAAATGTGATAACGATAATCTCTTGGATAAAAAACGATAATCTCTTCTTCTTTCTTCATTACGAAAATTGTCCATGGCTCCGCGAGACGCAAGTGCCGCCCAAGGAAACTTCACAGAACTTTAACCGTTACCAACTTTTCTATGGTGTGAACAAATGCTCACCATCAAACGTAATATATGATTGGAAAAGAAGTAATATTATATATTAATAAACCATGTGTGTGTTTTTTAATAAACATAATAACAATAAGTGTTTAATAAACAGTTGAAAAGTTCAGATGATGATAACACCTGTTATCGCCCGTGACATGCTGTCGTCTGATCACAACCAAAACGCTTGATCAATAACATCAGTTTTCTGACACTATTTTTATGTTAATTTGTCCTCTTGTTTTCGTTTTGTGTTCGTTTCGTTAAGACAGATTATTTCATTTTTGCCCCCGTGCAGTTAACCTGTTTTTATCTGCTTTGACGTCGTTTCCGTTAAGTTGTGAATGCGTGTTTCATCATTAAATTCGGTCCGTCTTGTTAACGTTATGTTCATCTTGCCAAATCGTCCTGATTGATAGGTGATCTTAAGGTCTATTTGAGGACTTTCACCTTTTTTTTGCTGTATTGTACGGGCTCACCTCCACTCTTGGTATGGGTCCAGGTCAATCACTTCCTAAAAAATTCCCACGTTTGTCTAGGGACGGCACATAGGATCGGTGGATATAACTGAGAAACAAGTAGTTAGGAAGGTAGATCGAAGACAATCAAAGTATATTCGCTTTCAATTACATATACGGTTTATCATGCAGCCCTATGCACGTATATATATCATTCATGTCAACGGGGAACTAAAAGAAAACCACCTAAAAAAAAGACCCACCTATATGTGAGGCCTAAATGTGAAAACCATAGAAGGGCAACTACCAAAGTTGCGCCTGCATAAGCCTTATAGTAATAAACCGCTGTTTGCTCGTCTATATGATGACATATTTATATGATTCATATCGTCGTCGCCATCCGAAGTCGGAGTGTTCAATTCACCAATGTGAACACCTAGTCAACCAGGTCAATGAACCAGCCTGAGATATATATCTATTTACGTAATATGTATCTATCGGCACTCTTGTCGAATTCTCGTTGTGCGCAGTCAAGTACCGAAATCCAAGCTTCATTTATGCGACACGCTACCCGCAAATGCCCAGATCCAGAGGGAGCCTTTAGAATACTCTTCTCTTGCATAAGAGATTGTACATCCTATTTGTCCTCATTGTTGTAGGTCTGTGTAGATGCATGGTGTCGCCGACGTCATACTACTGTTAGTGTATGATAACATCGTGTCAGGATGAAAGAACGTTCGTTCTATCGCTTGGTAGATTTTTCCGCCTGTTTTTCTCAAGTTGATGGTAGTTGGAATTGGCTGGGTTAAAAGTTGGTGACGTCTTCCGCTGAGGTTATTTCGTCTACTGCAGGGAAGGAAGAGCAGTTTTTTTTTGTTATTAAATGAGATATTTTTTGTTAAAGCTGTTGTTATTGTTGTTGTCGTCGGGGGTTGAATAGGCATTAGAGTAAAGATCCGGGATGGGAGTACCGATGAGCATCCGATGGGCTTTGTCACCCATAATGTCCAATTTTATCAACTTGGTTTTCCTTATTTTTTATATTATTATGCCAATGTGGTTATCCGGAAATTTGCTTTTTGGTCAACACCATTTCTTCTGACGTTGGCCATCTGCGGATGGAATACGTATTCAGTATTGGTTATTTGTTGTTGTAATTATAGGCTGTAGTTGTGATGGAAAGAAGGGACACAAACGCTTAAATATGATTGGACGTTTGTGATCCAACCAGTCTTAGGGTTTGTGAAAATACATTACGGAGGGTGCAGCCGATTTGTGACTGAAATCGCAGAGAAGCAAAATATCTGTTGAAATGCTTAGTAATTCTACGAGTACCTGTAGTTACTAAATCAGATAGGCAGGTTGCGTAAATCGAGGTTTGCATAAGGTACTTGCATACTTCATGCAAATGAAGGCAAGCATGAAGCATCCGTATATATAATCCTTATATATATACATAATACACAATTTCCGCGCTAGTTCCGCTAATTATCTTCGGATAGCTTCGTATCTGTTCTTTTAACATGTGAAGCTCAAACTTACAATCGATGACGACCGAGTAACAACGGGTGCACGTCCATGATTCGGATTAAACGGAAGCTGTTCAGTAAGCGGTTGCTGTGGTCGCGAATGGGCATCCAGGCATTTCTGATAGCGAAGTTTGTAGGCCGCCTCGAGCGCTTTCGTTAGCGCCGCTGCCGTCGGTTCGCAATGGAACACGTGGGCCACAAAGCGGCGCGTAGTGCTGCCTGGATTTGGGTCAACAACGAGACTGCACATTTCCTCCTGTAAATAACAATAAGGATAGGCGGAGATGAGCAGCAAGCGAGGAAATTATTCACTTATTTCACAAATGAAATTAAATGTACCATCTGCAGTGACATGCCCATGTGGGTCGATTAAAGGGAGAAGGCATTAGACCGGACGTTTCATAGCGACCGCTGATAAAGCAATGAGTTCAGCCATTGCTAACCTGTCTGCCCATTCCGATGTACTCAATAAAGCGAACTCGGGCGTCAAACACGACTTCTCGCTCGTTGTCCTGCGGCCGTACGGTGACAGCAGATGTTGTCACGGTCACTTTGACTGGCCGATATCGGTAAGGTGGCACGACCGATACAAGCCGATCTATGGCGGAGATCAGCATATCCATTCCTTCTGGTTTCGACACCTCAATCGATCCGACATATAGCGCCTTTAGCGTTTTGTTGATCTCTTCTGATGGCTGTGGAAAGCTGTCTGCCCCGAGCAGCAGATCTGAGAAGCGCTTATTTTTACGTTCCTCTGGAAGTGCCGTTGACTTGTCACGTTTCACTACTAGCCTGAAATGGTATTGAAGAAAAACAAGTACCTGTAAATTTGCGTGTATGTGGCAAGTTAAGATATGGCTCACTTACAATAATATGTACAATAATTATACGCTCCCTAGTTAAGTTCAACCGGTTCTTGTACTTATGCGCTTTTCGAGCACATGGTCAACGTGAAGTTCAAAATCTAGGAGTCACATGGACTACTGACCCCCTCTCGATCATGGCGCGCTTGCAGGCGTCTCGCAATGTAGTGGCGATTATTCTTGCTGGCATATCACAGCGGAACACGTGGCACAGTACCACATTTTTGTTGACACGATCTCGGGCCACGTACGCGAAATCCCTAGACACACAAAATGGCCGGACGTTAAGCTTCAACTAACAGTTTGCATTGAGTCTAGATTAGCAGTCAGACTAAACATTCGCGTTCAAACTTTACTCGGCCAGCAAGCCCTTTTCGTCAATAAGCACAGACGTGGAAATTAGAACAACGCCGTCACATTCAAATTGTCCACCATAACAGATATAGGATAGAGAGTGTCGAGGGATGTTTTGGATGCATCAAATAATTAACACCGTAATGGAAACAAAAAAATAGTTAGTTTTGTTTGATGAAAACTAAATAAACAGCCAACAATATAACTAATATATATTAAGATTAATCAGTTTCATTTATTTATAGATGGCAGTCCATAGAATACGTTTTAGAACACATACAAAGCGCCAAGTATTTTGTAAACATCCTAATTAAGAGTACTGTATCTTAGATAGTTCAGCTTGAAACGTGAAAATCACACTATTTATTAACAGCACGATTTGTCGTTCTTGTTGTATTGAGGCTACGCTAGTACGTTTCAAAATTTGAGGCCGTATATAAAGAACTTACTACTAATAATACCGCAATCTGTTGACTGGAACGATTTTTGGGCGGGAAATTTTAAACTTGGAAATGGGTTTCAAAGTGTACAAATGCTAGCATTCAGGGTTGGCGTATGCAGAACTATATTGAACTCATCTCGAGCAAACTAAAACGGTAAAAAAATGGAGGAACGCGTACTGCATGGTTTGAAGAAGGATCAAAAAAGCAGACGTACAAATGCTTGCTTCTCTTTGCCCTCGCATAACAGCAGTGACCCGTTCTTACACCGAAAAGTAACTTGTGATAAAAAATTAATCCTCTACGATAATGTTAGTTATATTATGGGGTGACCAGTGCATGCAACGGGACCGGCGCAACATAGCTCCAAGGCGAATGTACAACTGCAATAGTTTATGAACTCTGCTTGGTGGCCTAGAACAGATTTTATCCACTACAACCCTGAGTCCTGGTTCGTCAATTACAGCTGAAGTTAATTATTGTTAGCATAAGAGAGCCCGCAAGATTAGTGAGCCGAGGTGGTCATTATCATTGCATAACAAAACTCGACTTCACGCCATTGTAGTTAAAGTGGCAAAAGCGTACGAGTCAGGAAGTGATCTGTTATCAACCATATTCTTCAGACGTCGCTTTCAAGATTACAATTTTGTATGAAATCTCTTCAACCGCTTGGTTAACTGAATGTTATTAAGATCTCAGCATAACGTGAAGAGTGCCTTGCGACGCTTAAAACGCTAGGGTAGAGGAGTCCGTTCTATAAAGGCGGGATAATTAAGTTACCACCCATATGGAAGAAGATCACAGGTAATAATCGAGCACACGTCGATTTAAAATAGAAGAGATAAGTTTGTGAAAACTTCCAAAGTTAATTGTAACGCTTTTACGCAACAGGGACACAGTAAACGTGTTTATTAAACCTGGCTTAATTCCAGCAAAAATTATAGAGCTACTTTATTTCCGTTACGACCGGTGCTAGGTGAAATGTCGCCTCGCTATTAATTCCCTATGTATAGTTGGACAGTGGATTATTTAGGAGCTGTCCTAATTGCTCCGATTAGGTGATGGTTCTTATTAGCCTGAAACTAAAGCTAATAATTAGCATCTCTGTCACTGTTGTTCGTTTTTGTTATTAGTATCCTTAGCAATGCTAAATACACGTGTTATTATATTAGTAAAACATATTTTTACTTAATTCAGGGAAGCTCTCTCGAACTAAATCTGTCGTGTAGAAGCAGGTAGGGCACAAATTCGTGGTGCAAAAAAGCAGTAAAAATTATCTCCTTCAGCAACTTGACGAACGAGCGAGGCCGACGTCCGCGTATTGTTAACAGATATTTCGATATCTCTCTATTTTTTCAGCTCTATAATCATGATATCAAAATGCCGGGATTTTTGTTTGAGGGAAAGTTGGCCGGACCCACCCAGCTCCTCCTGATGTGTTAGACATGACAAAACAAACCGCAGTTTCGTAATCGACGCTATAATTGAGACAATCTAGTTCGAATCTTCAAATTTAAGTAATGTGTACTCTTCCTTTAACCGCGGCCCAGATCGAACGATATGTATATACGAAACATAACGCAATCCAGCACAACTACACACATGCACTGCTCGTAGCGCACGTGGCCAGTTCTGTGCCCATTTTCGAACTAAGTTAGAACTTACTTCGGCCAACTACCAAGGGAACTGTTCAGTTAGATCTCTACCACCCGAATGTTAAACATGCAAACATTTGGACCAGTCAGGCCATTGAATGTCGCGTAGGAAAAATCAAACAGTTAATTTCTAATGTTGATAGAACTAATAAGCAATGTTCCTCTTTAGCTCGAAGTCTATGTCACTTAATAGCACATAGCAAGTAAATGCATAACACGTAAAAGAAACTCGAAAGGATCTATCAGAAAGCTAGGAAATATAGGCCAACCAATCATTCGATGTTACCTTTCACTGCGAAGGCGATGCAGGCGCCGAAAGCACAGCAAAATACGTTATGTTAGTTAAATTAAATTAGTTAGCACGATACATCTAGGTATTAGTACTATCTTTACACAGGTAACACATAAAAAAAATGTATATTTTCATGTAAATTGAATTAATAATGCAGTATATTGTTTACACAATATCTACCGTGCAGAGGAAACATTTGAGGTGAGAAGAACCTAATAGTATTCGTAGTGAAAGTACGATCAAAACAAGCCTTGGCCATGATTCAAGCTCTGGCTCGGACCCAAACCTGTTCCGTTGAGTAGGCTTCACAAAAACTCCCACGTCATATTTATTCTCACAAAAGGCAAGTATTTTGACCAAAGAGTTATGTTAAGAAGACAAGCGCATGTTGAAACAAAAAAGTTTTCTATGTTTGCCGCATTCGATATCCTAAAGCTTTACCTGAACGAAAAGAAACACGTAAATAAAGACATGACCAACTCGCTTAGCTTAGCAGTTCAGCTAACGCTGGTGGGGACTAATTTCATATCGATTGGTTAAAGCGTGTCAGTCTAACAAAAGACCGCTCCATTGTCAATAAGTACTGTATGGGATAAAAACATATTCTGTAAATTTCGAGCAGGTCTGGACACTTTTTCCTTAAGATTAACCGCAGGAAAAATTATAGTGTAACCAAACATATACTTTTATCTGCAATAAAAAAAAATTGATATCAGCCTTGTTCATTTGTTCGCACCCATACCTGTCTTTGTCTCTGCCTACACCCCACATGCGGATCGTGTGAATGGGCTGCTCAAGTAAAATACACTCATCCTCGTCACCGATTTCTTCGGACATCGCCGACGCTCCGCTAAAGGCTAGGCTTGATAGGCCCCCAAGTACGACATCATCGTCCGTGCAGAGATCGTCAATTTCAACAATTTTCGATTTGATCTTGTTCGGATCGATTAGACGAAGACACTCGTCATCGATGTCCATATAAATGTCTATGCCTCCACCCCACCTGTCGTTGCGGGAACGGTTTGTATTCGAGACCACGTTCATCCCTCCGGAAGCCTGTTCGGCGGCCCCCAACTGCTGAATAATTGTGTTTACCGCGCGAGAGCTTTTATCCGGCGTCAGCTCTTCCTCGGGTACCTCGAGCCAGCCGAGAGAGCGGACAGCAAAACGAATAGGCTTTTTCTGATTCGATTGAATCATCTGCTCGATTGCCCTTCGGGTGAGAATAGGACAGCTTTGACGTTTTAGGACCTTCTCACTAGCATTCCCATTCTGAAATCGGGTCACCAGCTATATTAATATTTAGAACGGATAAAACTCGAAAATTTATTTATTTAGGTATATGTTCATGATTACTACTTCTGTCTGGCTTTAGTAATACGAGGTACCATTCCGGATATTAGCGATTGCCTCTTACATGTGTTTCAAAACAAGCAACGTTCAATGGCAGTACCGGGTGTAAAAAACAGTATATATATATATATAAAAAACAGTATGTATATATACTATTTGAGCTACCCATGCTGTTATTGTTCGGCGTTCCTTCATCACGTGAATAGCACTACTTACTTTGTTTCTAAATGCCACCGCAGTTGGCATTGCAAGCCGTTTGTGTTGTGCCGTGAGTTTATCAGTGCCTTCAACGGTGGGCATTTCTCTCTGAATTGTGCCCGTGGCAATATGCCAATAGTACGCGCCCTCATCATCCTCATGCTTCTCCCAGCCCGTAGGGACTTCGGCTGTATCTGGTTTCACGCTTTTCTCAGGAGTCTCATCAGCTGCTAAAGTTTAGTAAAAAAAAACGACAACAAATAATGTAAGCAATTAATTCTTAACTACAATATGTCCTCACCCACTGTCTTTTAGAAAGAATATTACTTACGCGGATTGAACCACAGTAATATTAGCCTAAAACTAATACAGGTTACAAATGAGTTGACGTCTAATTTTGCACGTCGACCTAGGCCGATTTGTAATGAACGTCATAATTCACTGAGAGTGAATTTCGATTTTTATTTAACTATACAAATTTACGTCACTTACGTAACACCACACTATGGACTCGTCATTCCAGAACGTGTTAGCCACATTAGTCTGTCACATAAAAAAGGCAGAAGGAAGGCTTGGTCGCTTCATTGCAACGTTTAAGGTCAACGCAAGACAGTTATTAAGGCAGACGTGACAGTGTTATTTTAACCTAGGACAGGCTTGCTAACATGTCCACATGGCCATAAGCTACACACTACAAAAATATGCATCCACTAAGATAAAAGCGGCGACCTCAAGGAAACAGAAAACTTTGTTTAAGAAAGAAAGCCTATTTGGGTAGAGGATCCACTGACGCTTTACATACCAATGACATTTACTCGTAGGACGCATAATGTCTTGTTCGTAAAAAAGCATTGCACCATGTCTTTAAAAATTGTTCTTGCTTTAAACACATAATCAATACATTTTTAAACACAAAAACGGATGACTGCTAGTATTTCCTATTTCAAGTACATATATATATATATATATATATGTATATATATTTGAGTAGCAATCATAGTAACTACCCTTACCTTTTTCTCGATTATGGTCACCTGACGGGCTGTTTGTATTTGCGACGCTGATGGCGTTGTCTGTTGATGGTGCCGCGCTCACCGGCGGAATCTGCTCTCCACTGGCCTCTCGCTTCTGACGAACGGCACTTTCAAGACTGAGGTAGTAATCGAGAAAGTTAGCACTGCTTTTATCCATGCCCTTGGTGCTATCTCCACGGCGCTTAAGTGCAGGGGAGCCTGTCAAACTTGTCAGACTGCCGCCGCCTGAACTGGCGAGATTGCCATTCGTTTCACTGGAAACGTCCATGGAAATTAAGCAAATAAGTGTTAATTGGGGGGATTAACACCAAGTGAATGTTACATGCAAATTGCACAATACAGATGAAACAGAACACTAGATAGGTAATCAGATGCCAAAATATTGCTGCCGTTATTTTCCGGATTGTGTGTATATATCCAATGTGATTTTTGTCCCACCTCTTGTTTAGTACCACTAGAAGAGTACACCCTGATCTGAGATCATAAACAACGGAAAGAGTTTGATTGCACTACTATTTGAAGCTTTATTGACAGGGGGCGTTTGCCTGCGATTGCGGCGGCCGCCCTTTTAATCATTTTTACATGGTTCATCAAGCAGCTTTTGAGGCGAGATAAATACATTTATATGTGTAATAGAGCAGTGTTCATTTTACCTCTCTGCAAGTAACAGAAATACGCGAATCATTGCAATAGTGAATGGGAATTCAATTATGCGATACACACGTAATAGGTGCTCCCATTTTAAATTATCCTGAGATTTTCGGCTTACTCAGTGTATACAACAACAACACCGATATTTGGGATCTCACGCCATTATAAACGCTATACACAAAATGAAGGATAACAAAAGCACACCCGAACATTCAATGAATAGTGCTACTGCTCAAGAAAATGATGGCAAACGAGATAATATGACTTCGAATCTTCAAGATCTACTCTGAACGTCCATATAATAATGTGCGTTTTGTCTGGCATTCCCGTTAGAAAGCCGGCATATTTATATCATGATCGCATATCTCTGTCGCATTATTCAACACCTATTGCATTGTCAATATCTGCTCCACTTTCGTTCTCTCTCAGAAAGGCTTCGAGTCTCACATTCATCAACAAAAAGTTTGACTCCAACGGCGAAAAGTCTGCTCTAAGCAGAATACGATCGTGAAATGCCGCATTCGTAAAAACTATCCCGTTCTTCCGCTCCCCCTAGTATATATATATGTGTATGTATATATATATAATGGTTGCTATATGCTACGCTAGCAATGAGCCCTGAAAACTTGGGTAATGTGAAGTCGCGGAGCAAAATGTGCCGTAAGTCATCACTAAGCGTATATAGTTGCCCTAAATACAATCTGTCTTCTGCCAAAAGCTCGTGAGTCAGACAGCGTTGCCTGAAGAAAAAACAACATGCGCATGTTTAAGAGGTGGCCGTGTTAGTTTTTGCAAAGCAAAGTAAATGTAAAATAGATATTTATAGTTATATAGCCACGAGATAAAGTAGTAGCCTGAGCTCTAGGTACTATATAATATCAATAGATCATCACTTCCAAACAAGAATATGTGTACATTCTAGTTTATTGAAAAATCTCATTTCATAATTTGTTGGTTTGCTAGATGTCGTCCGAAAGGATTTTGCTTTTACTGTAGATGCATACTCTTTCCCCTAGTGATTCTTCCTTGCACGGTCAGCTAAGATGTCGAATAAATAGTTGTTGAAAGAATCACCTGAAAACTAACATCTACATTCATGGTTGCATATCGATCACCATTGTTTGAGCGAGCTTTTGCGCGTGGCCACATGCCCTTAGTCATCCCGTGCCTGCTTTTGACCTAACCACAGCCCACAGGATGAATAGTGTGGGCACTGAGGCCCAGCCCTGTCCCTTTACAGATCTATATCATGATGTCCTAACGTTAGGCGATCCCGGTAGATTGGATGGACGACGAACATGCGCCTGTAGCGACTTGTGGAATCCGTAAAGGGTCCGAGGCGTTACTAACCCTAAACCACCTTTCCTACGAAATTGCGATTTGATGCTTCGCTCCAAGAAGGGCTAGTCCATTACGGAAATTTGTTTTGCCAAACTAGAAATCTAGTAATATACTGTACTAATAGATCATGTACATATTCGGTAAGCATGTAAAATAGACTGTATATTTGTTTTTGTTAATGTTATAAAAAGTTCGTACCTGGTGCTTGATATTGATCCATGTTAATTCAAGACTATGCAACAGTTTGAAAGTGATGTAATTAGAGTTTCTGATACACCTCGCATTGTACATATTTTTATAACCTTTTGGTTCATCGCAATCTGCATATGTATTCGGCCATCATGTTTATGCACTTAATCCATGTTATTCTGGTTACGATAAATATCCTACCTCTATAAAATTATATTGAACGCAAAGCCTAGGTAGTCTGCTTTTGCTGTCATGTATCTGTGTTTTATATGTTTCATGGAATTGCATTCGTTTTCATTATGAGTATAATTCATTCATAAGGAAATGTTTCCGATTGGAGTTACTTATCGGGACCGTCAGACTATAACAACGAACCTCCATCGCACCCTCTGGCTTCAAGCGATTTCGAAGAAACGTCAACACCAGCTACAATGATTATCCCACTTATCTCATCCCGCGGGGTGAGCAATATATTATTGGACTGTAGATTTTTTTTTGGCCTGTTTTAAGTAAAAATTGAAGAAAATGTTTTTTTTTTTTTGATATTTTAAGTTGACATTACTAGACTAACTATGCGCCAGTTTGGTCGATAACCTTCCGCCATTTTTCAGGCGTCATCATCATGACTCCACCACTGTAGAACTTCAGGCGAAAAACCCCTCCATTGAAACCATATCTACAGCATTAAACGAGTTCTGCAAAAAACGAAATAAGTGATAGTTTAATCGTGTAAGGTCCAAGCAATACGGCGCGTGCATCAAAGTTTTCTATACCAATTTTTTCTGTTTTTGCTGGCTAGCTAAGGAAATATGCGATTTGGAACTTTCATGGTGGAAGACGAAGTTCTTTTTATTTACTAGCCCCAGTCGATTTTCCAATGGCTTGTTGTAATCTTTGTAATTGTTGACAGTAAAGATTTGAGAATGAACCATCTTACCAGATGATAGTAACTCGTCATGAACGATTTCTTTCAAATTCCACTAAACGGTCTGGTCTTTGCTACAAACTGTAGGGCACGCCTGCGTATGACTGTCGTGTGTAACCCATTTTTCATCAGCCGCTGTTTAAGTGGTTCGATTTCCTTACGTTTCTCTAAAGTTTCGCAGATGGAAATACGACCCAATATTTTTATTCGTGGCACCAGCAAAGCATCAAACTTTTTTTGTAACTAGCCTGTTTGGAATAGTTTGAAACTACTTTGTGTTGGATGGTTAGCTCCTTGACGATATTATGGCTGGCCATGTGTAGCGTTTGCTCAACTTCCACAATAATTTCATGAGCTTTTTTCCATGACTGATTGACTGACCCTCACAAAGAGCATCTTTCTAATTTCTAACACAACTATCTCTGGGCCACTTTTTGCGTTAACACATTTTGACTATAAATATTTTTTTCTTGTTAATTTTGGCAGCACTTGTATATTTATCGCTATAAAACTGTAGAGGATAGCGACTATTTATACAACTCCCCTTTTTTCAAAGCGTTTTTCACCTTAATTCCAAATAGATAGAGACAATTATAGCACATCATCTATAGCCAAATCTTAGCTTTTAAATGACACTAACGCCGACCTGGCTCAACCTATCCGAAACTTTGCGGCTGTATAGCTAGGAATCCTTTTTGCGACAATATAATATTTAGTAAAACGCAACTCCAACTATAAAACGATTCCACTAATGACATTTATGATATTTGGTCAGTTCTCCATACTGTGCAGCAAATCTCTACCTTGTGATTCTACTTACAATGCGGTGCCTTTGAGTAGCGCCGTTGCACCTCCAGTGGCATGGCCCTGAGGGCCGAATACATGTGGATGGCCGCTAAAATGAAGTCCACTTATTCCGGTAGCGACGCCGGTGGCGTCCTTGCGCCGACTTCGAACATGTCGCTGACTCTGGGGGGTGCAGGGCGTCGAGGAGACGCCGGAACGCCTCTCTGCTGATGCCAGCTCGCGGCCGGACAGCGACGTCGTCAGCGTCGAAACACTAGCGGCCACGTTATTATTGTTGTTGATGACGTTATAGTTACTGGTACTGTCGCTATTGCTATTTTGATTGTTCACCAAGTTCAAATTCGCTGGAAGTTATTAAAACGAGAAACAAACACGCTATGAATACTTTTTACATGATTGCAAAAGTAAACAATATTGTTACTTAACTAAATGTTTCAAATTTCTTGTCTAATATTGGTATTAAGCAGTGGTTCAGGCAATTGGCCTTTGCCAGCACTAAACAAAGTGTATTTTCGCCCGATTTCGAGTTTAGGTGGGTGCCACTGCGTGCCTTTACTTCAATGGGAAAACGGGTTGCCATTATGTTCCTACGTTGACAATTTTTTTTGCTTATATACATATTGCAATATTATTATGCTTGCGTACATGATCTGGACCATATCCCGATAAGCTGAGCCGTTCAGCAGCAACAGACGGTCGTCTATAGTATTAGCTACATTACGATATGCGTAATATTAATGTGACCGGTGAACTTGGCAGTTTCTTGAATACTAGTTGTATAAAAGTTGTACGATTTATTACCGAACTGCAGAACATGCTATGCAGTATTAAGAGGTGGAAGAGGAAACAAAGCAAACACAGGTTGTGACGAATATTTAGAGCCATTATGAAAGTGAGAAAAACCTATTGCACGTTATGAGCTATAAAGACGTTTAGATTTGAAGATTAAACTCGTATTGTTCTCACGAAATTTTTGGTAAAATTTACAATTTTGTACTGGCGCCATCAAAATGTCGATTTGAATTTCTTTGTGGCTGTCACCTATGACAAAATAAGTACTGATTTATGTGCAAGGCCAATATATGTATTGATAGGCCACAAGTATTACTACATGGTAGTAGAATAAGTTTCTCACGTTAAGTCAACAACATACGAGACGCACGTCGAGACATCGATAAAATACGTGTGCCCATATCTTATATAGTGAAGTGCTTAAATTTGAACTTTTTCTAGTTTCAAGACTCTATTTAAGCAACAACAGAGAGTCATCAATAAGATTCCCTGCATATGCTGAAAGTTTCACCGATCACGGCAAAGCTTATTTAATATAATCGTTATTGACCGTGATTACCTCTACATTTCAAGGCCTTTATCACACACTACTCATTTTCTGTTTTTATTCAGCAAAATCACTTTTTAATAGTAGTCAAACGTAAAACAATATTGGCACATGTAAATCCGTTTCGTATCGCTCAGGTACGCTCTTTCCAAAAATTTTTAGCAGAATTAAGTTTTGAGCTGATAGCAAACCAAATTACCAAAAATATCAGGGCTTACTACAAAAGTTGCAAATAAAGATGCAAAGAATCTAAAAAATGACTAGTCGTTGTACTTTATCTAAACAGCCTCATTGACAATGAACATTCTGTTCCGCTAAACGGGCATTCATTCCTATATGAAAGATTCAAGCGTATTAAAAATGGCTTTTTCAACTACTCTGGTATATTTTCAAACTTATTAAATCTAAACTTCACTGGATTTTTTCCGTGCTGTCGTTTGGAAATCTTCTTCGGATGTTCTATAACCCGTATGAAAACGGGCAATAACATACATCGTGCTTTTGAGTATAAACGGAAGTTTAATCTTGATAAGGGTTCAACCTGAAGGAACACATTGTTTAATAGCTGATTTTCGCTCGGATTTCCAAAGATGACAAACTGTCTCTAGCCATGCGAAGTTTGAAGTCTTAGCTTAAGAAACTATCTCTCTTCATGCGCCATGATTAGCAAATGGACGCGTACTCACTAAGACGTACAGCCTGCCAAGGTTTGTGGAACTGAAACGCACCGCTATATATATATATATATATACATATATATATATATAGGTTTTTTATGCTTTTTGAATATGAGATCGTGTTTTTGTGCTTAATACAGCCGAGTGTATTCAGTAATGTGAGCGGAAAAATGATCTCTCCTCTAAAAAACCTGTTAGTGTGTTGAAGCCAGAATACTGTTATCCTATGAAATTAAAAATTGTTGCGTGAATTTTCAGAAGATATTACGCCAATATATATATCTACCCTGCATAGCTTCCATCTCTGGAAATTTCTCCAGGAAGCGGTCTTCTTAAGTACACACTGAGCAAGCAAGCCATTTTCAGTTCCTTTAAAAATCTCAAAGCGGTGCTTCAATTTCGATAGCGCGCACTTATAACACGTTGCAGTCTCTACTTTTTCAATATAAAATTACCATGTGCACACATTTAATCAAAATTCGTCCAAATTGCCTTGACCTGTCCTTGTAGTTGCAGCCATCATCAAAGAGTTACGGTCCTTTAAGCTATTTCATTGGATTTATACCGTGAGCGTTAGTCATAACTATATTTGGACCGCCCAGCGTCCTAGACACGAGGGCGCCGTCTTTCAGTTCACAATGAGGCTAAGCTGAGTCTTCGATTTGTCGAAGACAACAAGCGCGAACGCAGTAATGGACATTTGACCAACAACAGCTGCCTTTTCTAGCCCTATCCTCTCCGTGGCCAAACCCAGCTCTTTTTCTGGTGCTGATCTTGTCTTGACCAGAAATCTATTTATTACACCTTCTATAGAACGTCCGCACGGCTGCTAGAGCCCTACAGATAATTTTTTATCGGCTGCTTGTTGCGAAGTCAAACGAGCTTATAAGTTATTTATCTTTACTTAAGTATTTATAAGTGAATATATGTGACATATGCGATAGCGCGGAAGGTAACAATCCTATACATTACAGGTTCTATAATGAAAATTGTGGAGGAGGAATCATGTTATTACGAAGGTGTCTTGTTATACTAGATACACTGGAATTATAAGGGGTGTTTACATAGAGAATTTACGTCTATATAAATCACACCGGGATTTCAACATGCGTAATGATGAAGTTGATTCCAATACAATTCAACTAAAATACATCTCCGTCTAGAAAATACTGTAGGTTGTAGCTACAGATGTAAGAACATCTTTGCAATTAATAATATTGTTTTCAGATAGTCGGAAATGTATCCAAATACTTTTTTTTGCAGCTTTGTTTCGCTTGCTATTATATTACAAAACCTAGCAAATGTATACCACTGTTGATCTCCTCCTGATATTGTTTGCGATAGGTTCCGCGAGGGTGAAGAGGCAAAGTCATTCTTCATATTGATTATTATTAATACATGCATCTGTCTTTCACTAATGTCCGTACATAACGCCATGCATAGCGAATTAATTCTGTACGAAATTTTCAAACAGTGGACATACGCATTAGCATACTACATGCTAATCTACACTTAAATGTTCTAGCCTACTGGAGTAATATATACATTTTGTCTCTAATGCCTAAATAATTGCCTGTCAAGTTACCTCCGCCCATACAAACTAATGTGTATTCGCATACATTCTCCAGTTTTCCTATACTCTCTACATATAAAGTCTACTATTCTAAAAGAAAGGGAATACGATTTCACATGGTCTCCGACCATGTGCAAAGCCAAAATTTACCAACTGAATCCTGTTCTAAAAGTAAACGAATGGATAGTAAAAGAACAAACAGCGTTGGTTTTGTCTTGTTGCATCATAATTCTATTTCGGCTATTCTGTTCATCTAATTAGACTATGTCGCTGACACCAAATGGCTGAGGCTAGACTACACTTATGCCGTTCTCGCCGGCTCCCTGAACACTTTTTCATTTATATTTCCGATGGGAAATAGTATGGTCTGCAGACTAGAATGACGATGTTTTCTTTAGCAGGTTCCTCCGCATATTAATCCACATAAACAGTACTTATGTAGGCGGCTGTCCACCTAAATTATTCGGTCCGTAAGGTCTTATCTGTAGTGGAGAAAAGGCTTGTCACACAGTGGCACGCTGGCTAACCCCCTGTCGCCCTTTATACCTTATAACGCATTACCTGCATACGTCGTACAGGACATTCTATTTCATAACAATAGAAATGACAACTAGTGCGGTTTTACACGTTACGGATACACTATAACAAATGGATAAACATCGTACCAACGGTTCGGTAGTGTCACCTCTAAAGGACATCGCAATTAAGCTATTTTGCTTACCATAGGCCAAGTTGTCTACGGTATTCATGATAAAGCTCTTTGCCTGAAACAAAGCCATAGAGAAAGTACGAACAGCACAGGATGGTAAGTGCACAGACACAGGGTATCCAGTTGGCATATGCTAAATCCACGTATGAAATAGATAAGCGGTTGTTTAGGAAGAAATAACAGAGTTCGTTGCTTAAGCTGATTCCTGCCACAGTAGCCGTTTCCGCTGGGCTGTAAACAAAAACTAATACACATACCACTTAAATACAGGAATTGACGCACGCAGCTGCTAGCTGCGACCTTCACAAATGCCCCACCCCGCTATATCATCTCATAATAACCTCATCAAGCACAACCCGAGCAGAAACGAACTTTCTCAGCTGTTGTAACACTTATTCACTGATGACACATATCTGCTGCCATTCGTTGATGACAACCACCCCTATCTATTCGATATACAACGGAGATGCGGCAAGCTTCGTCGTTATCGCGATGATGTCACCGACCACATCGATCAGTAACGAATTCTGTTTGGCTGAAGCGAATCAAGACGTACATTTAGCGTACCACTATAGAGTACAATGACGGGCTCAGCGGTCGACCACAGAAGCTGAACTCATAATGAGTTCGTATATTCTATTGCCTGACTTACATATCGCAGAGCCGAGAACGGCGGCGACGAAAACCAGGAAAGTCGGATTGTCGAAGCGAGTTTCACTCAACGCACTTTTCTTATGTTACTACTCTATACGGCGACTATTTCAGTTCCGACGACCTGCTATTCACTACAATGCTGTCCCACCATTACTAATACGACTAGCCAGCGTGCGCTTCTCTATGAACAGAAGCCCCGAGAAGGCTAAATCCCTCGCCTCGTTTCGCTAAAGACACTCTCCTATCAGGAACTTGCTAGCTCGCTCAGGCCCCGAGTCGCCGTTAGTCCGTCACTCTACCAACGATAGCGAAGCGTCCCGCTAGCTGGCTGCCTGCCTGATGGTCGTCGTAGTGCTCTTTTCCAATGGCCGCGATCGATGCCCGCCAAGCCAGCGGTCCCCAGCCCGTTCCACGAGACCCCTGGAGTCCCCTACATCCTCATCTTATCCCACCCTCCTCCAACGAACAGTTTCTACCCCCCACAGAAAGGCGTACAAAGACACACGGAGATAAGCACCCCATACTGAGGGGAACAAAGTGGTTTCCAGTTGGACGGAACTCCTCCCCCACGCCTTGACCGTACACAAACGGCGCTGTCGCAACCTTGATCTGAGTGCAGTACCAACACTTAGACGCGTTTGTGTTTGCACCGTTCAACAAACTCGAGTGCGGCTTTCTATATCACGATTGAGTTGAATAAAGGTAATTTTAAGCTGACTTCATTTTAAGAATAATAACTATTTTATTAATGTTATGTTTGTTTGTTGAAAGAGAGAGGAAGAACCGGGTTGTATCGGTTATTAGAGTGTAGGTAAGGCGTATTGTACTGAAGCCAAACCGCAGGAGGATACCGGAGAAAAGGTGAAACAACCATCCTTTCCACTGTGGAGCACCGCAAACTTCACTCGGAAATCAACGGCGTGTGGATCAGGACCCACTGTCAGGCTGACCTGATCGTCTTAGATTTGTTCGAAGCAATCTGCGATAATCATTACATTACAATGCGCAGATTTATGAATACGTAGGGACATATAATGAATGTATATTTGCCATGCCTTATAACAGTGTAACTTTGAAACAGCTTTTTAAAAAAACAGGCTTAGGTTAATATTTATTTCAATCATGTACATTATAATGCATTTAGCATACGACTAATAAATGAAATTCTGTCTTCTTGTAGTGAGCGGCATCATCATAAAGCATTATGTACGCACAGCGTCATATATAGACAATGAATATACTACGCAATTTGCACGAATGGAGGAAGTTATTTTATATAGACGGCAAGAGGTCACTGTTGTAAAATTTCTAGTCACACTTTTATTGCTAACAATTAACCACAAGCTGCAATAATAAATGAGTGGAACGTTTCCTTCAAAGGATGCTATTTTATTTTAAGATTTGGTGAATTTACACGGAATCGGTCATGTTCAAATAATAATAATTCGTCGTATTTTAGTGTTATAGTCCTCACTACTTTTTCGTGAAGTGGCTAGAAGTGTCGCGTCGTTCAGAGAACTATGATTGAACGCCTATTGAGTAGAAAAAACGATTGTATCTCAATTACATCAATTAACATACGCAAACGGAAGAAGCTCACCTTTCTTGAGGTCTAGCGCAATTATAAAAAAGAAAACAAGTTTATTGACCGTATTACGAGGATTACACGTTTTGTCGTAGGCAATGAAAAACCGACACACGTAACCTAACCTTCGCTCAGTCCAGTACGTGATATTTTGGTGTGTTGTTCCCGTTTATTCCACTCAGTTGTAAGGTTTGAGGCATGTAGATAAATGAGATTCTACAGACATATGCAGACAATTCTTGAATGGTATCGGGGATTTGTAAAGCACCAGGTGGTCCAGTCTTACAGGTAGAACTAAACTTAGTCGCCCTTTTACCTGTCACGACTGCCATGGGGTACCTCACCGAGGTATTCCATGGCAGTCGTGGAGGAAGAGGTTAAAATGTCCATTTGCGTAGTTTTATTACAAATGGTGGAATATACTTAAAACCTTAAAACCTAAGAGCTCGTTGGATCCTAGCCAAAAGCGCGCTTCAAAGGCCCTATGCGACCATCTCCGAGTTCCGCGATTTATAGTTTATCGCACGGAAGCTTGTCACAGTAAACATCCCGCTACCTAAATACATGGAAGGTGCATACTCTGAGTAGTAGAATAAACAAGTGCAATCCGAATTCTAAAAATGTATTACTGTATATAATCACGTTAGTGCTAGTAATTGTCGGAGTAGTTGCTAAATCTAGTCAATGATACTAATGCTGCCGTTCCAAGGTATGACAGTCATCCACGATTTCAGTGTGTGATCTTTTTGTCAAAAAAAAGAGGTCGTTCGAAATTCCAAGTGAATATATTCTACTACTTTTAGAATGTGAACACATAATGTATATTTCGTGCAAGCGTGCATAAAGTGTTATGTTTTCGGAACGCGTGTCAGGATTAAATTAGAATTGGCTTAGATCAATGGGGCGCTTTTTGCGATACTTATCAAGATGAATACAAACATTAAAGCAGTTTGTCACTAAATGTGAAAATTGTAAAATGTAAAAATTAGACATTCCATCAGACGGCTGGGTCCCAGCACAAAGTGTATCTAAGTCCGGAGATAGATTACCACGCGCTCCCAAATTTAGCAGGTAAACACGCCACCCACTAAGCTATCTCTATTCTATTCGTTCTAACAGTATAAAAGCGCCTTTAAAAATTTCAGCAGTAAGGTATGTTTTTAAGTTGACTAGCATGCCTTCTTTAAAACACTCATTTATGGAAATGCGGTTCTCCAATGAAATGGAGAATGCCTAACATAATAGAGCATTTAGTTGTACGAAAACATTGCATTGCGCGAATTGGTCTGACAACCCCAGTACTTCTTTATCAACCAAGCCGTGCTTGCTTGCTCGAACGAAGAAAGTAACTGTGTTCTCTCTACTGTAACTGTGTTTTCAGGCTTCGAACTGAACGTTCATTAATTTCTGCAGCATGACACTGGCGCATTGTTCCGTTGACGTCGGTATGTGTTGCTGGCACTTTGAAAAGTCTAAAATAGTTCGCTTTGCACATAAGCTTTGGTCCCGATTTGGTGTGTTTTTACAACTACTATTCTTGAGTTGATTTGATGACTACCGCTTAACCTCATTCGATTACGGACAATGTCATCAGAAGTGGAGTCGGTACCTGCCGAAGCCGAAATTTTGGAAATGGGTGAAAAGGTGGCAGAAGGCGCCATTCAGCCGGTCGTCAGTGTGGTTAGCGGACAAGCCACAGGTGACATGGATCAGGAGTGGGTCACTGCCGCCGGGAACTTTTTACCTAGTGGGCAAGATCTTATTGTCGTGACACAGTCTCCGAACGGCAATGTCATTAGTCAGTCAACATATCGAAGTAGCGGCACGGCCACCGCTGGCGGTTTGGCCGAGGTTGATGATACGACCGAAGTTGTAGCCGTCCTCGAATCAGCTTCAAAAAAACGCCGAATGAAGACGACCCCTTCCGAAGAAGACGGCGCCCCTCGACTTAAAAGATGGTACCGTCAAAAGTTCTGCGAAGCCTGGACGCTCGATGAACGTTTCAAGGACTGGATTGCACGGGTATCTAACGATCCCTACAAGGCATACTGCCGCTTCTGCAAGGTTGAGTTAAGGGCTGGCAGCTCGGAATTCTTACGCCACATGAAAACCAAGTACCATAGTGATGTCCAGTCGCTAAACCGACAACAACAACAACATCACGCACAACAACCACAGACCGTGCCTCACAGTAAAGAGCTCTATTGTGTCCTCGAAGAACATAACAGTGCCCAGGATAATACTACGCCCATTGTGTCACAAATAGTGCAGTACGAAGGCAACAGCGTACTGATGGAGTACGGCGATACCCTGCAACAGCGCCATCAGGAACACGAGATTGCGACTACGAACTCTGCCGCCCATCCAGATGATCGAGGGTCGCACGTTGTTACGCAACAATCATCACAGCAACAGCAACAGCTGCTGCATCAACAACAATCTTCTCCTCAGCCATTAGCAGTTCATGGTCAGGCTGCAGTATCAGTACTGCATCATTCACTTCAATCACCGCGACCTATAACTAGCCAGCACGAAGACTGGGAGCTAACGCGATTACGGATCATGCGCCCGGCACCAGCCTTTCGGGGAAAAGCGTTCACCGAGGGTACAATAAAAGATATTCGCTTATCCGATTATTTAGGTAAATTTGTACTGTTGACATTTTATACCGACGATTTCAACAACAGTTCGATTGGCTTACTACAAGAGCTAATAGCCCATCACGGCGAATTTGCGAGGCTTGGCTGTGTCCTTCTGGCCGCGTCAACGAATTCCGTGTTGACACACAAGGCGTGGGCTACGTCGATTTCGGATAATTCGGCTAAAATCCCTATTCCGCTGGTGGCTGACTTCAACAAGAAAGTCGCGCTGGCATTTGGCGTTTACGATGAGGAAAGCGGTTACGCGTTTCCATCATCATTTCTAATTGACGCCCGTGGCTGTGTAAGACACATGATTATGCATGACTTGAGTAGGGCGATAGCTCTCGATGAACCGCTGCGGTTCCTTCGGTCGATCGTGAAGAAATCTGACGCAAATAAGGTCGATTTGTAGTGATCGTATTATTATATATTCTTATAATTGTATGCTGTTTATTTAAGCGGTTATCAATAGCGTGCTATCCTCTTTACCGTATTAATGGAATGATGATCGAAATGATTAGACAAACGCTTGAAGTATATACAATGTTTATACATTATTGGTAGCTGTTTTTGAAACAGAGGTACAAATTGTGCTGCGCTCGCTTGCTTCGTTTTGAAAGTTGCCTAATGAAAGTAAAAAATAACATGGCTTTGTAGTGTTCTTACATTATGATTCATTTATCAGAGCGAAAAGCACAGGCCGACGTTAAAAAGTTTTATACCGAATCAATTTCACCTTTATAGCCGAAATAATTTAAGGCTTGAAAAATTGACGTTTGCCTTGATTTGGTTCACGATGCGCCGCAGATCAGCATAGGAGAAAAACACTGTAAATATATTAGATGACAACAATGAAATATTCCAAGGATAAAATCTCTCCTGACTAATGTTTATCGTACAAAAATATTGGATGATTCTCAATACAAAAAGTACTACCAATGTAAAATTATATAAAGTGACATGATGTTATTTTCTATAAATTTTCGATTGTGGGCTTTGGTTTTTCAGACGTACGATGAAAGCCTGGAACTAAATTAATATCTATAGTACCTGGTTAGGTATCATCTGGTGGTATTTCCTTTGGGGATGAAACTTACCTCTAAATTAGCTTCCTGTTGCAGTAATTCCTGTATTTTAGAGTTCCGATGTGGTGCCACTCTACAGCGGCCTAAAAACCCATATAATGCTGTTAATTTTTGTATTTAGCTATATTGAGTTGAGTAACAAGGTATTGAATGTATATAGTGTAAAATACAAGCGTATTATTACCAATAAATCTTGCCCGTATACATTTGTTCTAATTGCGATCCTATTTCAATCTATTATTTGATTTCTTGTCGTAGTCGTTATGAACAACCAAGTGTTGTTTCACATGTAAATAATATATGCAATAAACTCTGAAAAGTGTCTAAATAATACCGTTAACGTCAAAGCGGTTTACTGTTTTCAAAGCAAGGAACCGAGATTAATGCAATAGAAACATTAAACACCCCCTAGTTATCAATACCTCTATTATCGCTAAAATGCGAATAAACGGCGAATATTTAGCATTTTTATACCTAACACCTTTCGCTGTGCTGATACCTGTCGTTTGAAAAGCACCGATCTAATCCGTTTCGCAATGCCTCACTAATACGATCTATATTTGGCTATACACGTAATACTACACCACTCAATATCTGTCATTACCGAACATATTTTCTCGGAAAAAAATACAACACGTAAAACTATCTGTACATCATATATTTAAACAGTTTTGAATGAGTTGTTAACCGTTTTGTTATTGTCGTTGTGGTTCTAAGCTACATTTGTACATCAGAGATAGGCATTCTCCCAACGTCGACGGAGGCGTACGTCTCAAGCGGCATTGTTATCTGCGCCTGGCGACGACAGTCCGTTTAGCAAATACAAGTACGTTTTATTTATTTATTGTTTATCTTTTTCTTTAACTACGAACGGCGTTTGTCTCTACAGCTGGCATTACCTTCGTCTCCTTCATCAGTTTATTCATCGTTATTTTCATCAATATGCTTCTCGTCATCTTCATCGTATCGCCTATCCTTTCGCTTAAACTTCGATGTCTGTGTTTAGCATGTTCATCGTTTGTTGTTGTTATCGTTGCTACCGGTAGCCTACCCAGCGCTCTGTCAATGGTTCCCTTTGTTTTCTTTTTTTCGCATGTGGTTTCTTGCAGGCGTACGCCCTCACCAAGCAAAACTCCCTGCCTCAGTTTGCCCAGAATATTATATATCGTTTGTGTAGCATCACTCCGACGACAAGTTATCAACTAATTACCCGTTATAATGCTTGCTGATCTTGTATTTTTCTTAACATAATCAGGCGTTTTTTCGTTGCCATGTTCACCTTCTCTAACTCTATTGAAATAGGTGGTGTTTAGCTTGCCATTTCGGAATTACTATTCCGCATGTATGTTTCTCTACTCAATTGAACCACGATTTTCCGAATCGCTTACATATTATTTCATAACAATACTAAGTAAATTTAACGGGACTCTGCATTTTTTACAGTTCATTATTGTTTTCGAATACGTTTAGCTTCGCATTTCACACCTTAACAGCGGCTATTCACGTTGATGTTCATTTAGATGCTGCTTTCTTTCGTTTAGGTCTATATATGCTTCAATTTTATCCTGTTGTAGCCAATATTCGGATTTCTGTTAGTAATTTTTTTGCCGTGTTTTTTATTTTTATTTGGAAGTTGATGTTTGAAAATTAGAGGACTTTGCATCCTTTGTATATTATTATTGTTTTTTAATTGTTTGCCTTGACGTTGTCACGTTTGATGGCACTTTACCGCTTCAATCACCGCCAGCAGTTCCACCTAACAGATGGGCTATCTACTGGCCTATACTAAAGCTACACACTTTATTGAAGTTTCGGTGATTTTGTTTTGGCATTCTGCGTGTATTTTCGTCTTCTGCGTGACGTCATCGTGTTGCAGTTTGCTAACGTTTTTCAGTGCTATAGAATTTTTTCATATTCGGTGTCTTATGTTCTATCAATGCAACTCGAGTACGAGAATCAGTTGATTGTTTTTTCAATAGAAAATACATGGAACCGTGCACCATAATTTTTCTGTGCTTCTGTGTAATATGGATTCTCGAACTATCGGAATGCCGTGGACAACTGCGTGCACGTACGGTTTTTCTGAGCAATGCTAGTAATAAATGGTCAACTGTGTACTTTAAAATGTTCTAGGCAAAAAAAATGACACTTGTCTTTATAATATGTTACCAATATATATATATAAATATATATATATATATATATATATATGAGCCCTTACTCGTATTCACCCATGTGTCTATCACGTAAAAAGTAGAACTATAGCGCAGACGTAACGGTAATACTGTGTGTTGAAGTTCCTGAAGCTGTCTATATCGATCTATTGCTTATACTCTATTGGGATTTATATTGAATTGTTGTTGTTTTGGTGGCGTTCATCGTCATTTGTCATCTTTGTAATTTAAGTGTACATTAGAAGGGTGCCACTGAGCCCATGTTCCCTTCAAACGTTTCTCTTTTGATCAGGAAGCGCCGATCATGTGTATACGAAATAGTTTTTTCGAGCCTGCGCCCCAGCAACTGGCAACTTGTCAACAGTTTATCGGCAATTATTGTAAAGCGGTTTAATCTGCCTTCCAAGATTCGTTTGTGTATTAACATTGCTCATGTGGGAATAACTATCGCATTGTTGCATTGATATATAATTTGCTGTTATTAGAAGTAGGATTTCATTCCACAAACGAAAACTCATCTCGTTCGTTTATTGATTCGTTAACGTTTCTCTACACTTTTTTTCAGCACTCTCGCCAATAAGAAAGTTATATTTCAGCGCACCATAGATCTCAATTATTATATCTGCCAAAGTAAATTACCAAACGGACCAAAACGCCAAACTAGTATTCTCAAAAGGTAAATGTTTCTGCTCTCCTCTTTTGTTTGTCCTATTTGTCTGAGATTTATAGAATTGTTGCAAAATGACAGGAAAAAGCAGATCAAGGCGGGTGCACAAAGTAGCACTCCACTGAATCTGTTTAATCTAAATTCTCTTTTTGTTGTCTTCTTCTTACTTTTCTGGTTTTGTCTCTCCTGAGCAACTCTGTACAAATATCTAATATGCGGTGGACTTGTGCGGTCAACGTTTTCGCACACCCATGCACTGTAACTACAGCGAACAGCAAAAACATCGCACTTAAGCCACAGCCAAGTTTAATGACTGTCTGTTCCCACCTATATAGATATTGTAACTGAAAACACTCCCTAAACCAGTTGTTTTATGAATCAAACATGTGTTGCCAGCCACAATCTCGATATGAGTTATAACAGTACTATCATATAACCAAATGGTCAGTTTGTTGTATTTTGTCAGGTTGATACTGGGTGTGTCTCGCTTTTCGCTGCTGTATGCTCTTTTCAGCGTTCACTCAACGCCTTTTCAAAATTAATAAATTCGTTATTCGATCAATAGATCATTCATTACGGCGTTTCTTTCCAGTGTGTTCTGCTAGCTTGTAGTTATTGCCTATGTGTCAATCGGCTACCGTGTGAAAATGCATTATAACTATTGTCGGAACAGGTATTTTATTATTTATCGGTAACGCATAAATTAGAAAATCTGTCATACGCCTGCCGTCAAAATTCCTGCTAGGACTCGATGGTGGACCACACGAACCGAAACCGCCTTGCAGAGCCTTTCGAGAAACCTTTATCGCCTTTTTATTAGTTCAACCTCCTTAATTTTATAATATTTTAGTCTCATTGGTAAGGTGTCGAGGCGGTTATCATGGTGCTCTACGTCTTAACATGTATTAAGACTATGAATAACACGCAGTTGTTGTCATTGTTGCTGTTATTATTACCTCCGTGACTGTAACCTCTGCTGCATACTGTTGCGGCTCTGATTATTGTCGTCGTCGTCGCGTCGGTTGTCATTATCTATGAATTGTCTAACAATTAATCAATCACTATTCATAGTGTTTTATCATCCTTCTCATCATCATTGTCATATCTCTCTCAGTATCATATACGAATATAGTTATCTTCTATGATTTTTATCGTTATTATTTTCTAAGCCCTATAATAATTTTATTGACAATTCATCAAGTCATTAATTATTAGGTGTGGTAGTAGATAATAATGAGACCAGACAATACGTGCGAGTCAATTGATGAATGAATCGCTGAAATCACTTATTAATTCATTAGCTATCATAATCCTTATGTCAGCCCTATGTAACGTTGCAATAACTGAGGAATCTTTACATGCATCCATTATCCATTTTAAAATCGAAATTTCGACTAATAGAATACAACAGCTACTATCATTAGAATATAATATTAATTATCGAGGCAAATCATTACTCTGCATGGCCGAACGCAGAGTCACTCCGAATGGCCGCGCATTAGCAGATAATTTCACCTATTTAGCTATTTAAATCTGTTTCCTCTTTCCTTTTGCGCTTATATCTCGCTTTGTTGACATAAATGTATGAGCGTTTCTGTCTTTTGTGACAGCAGCAGCAGTAGAAATAGTGATCCTATGGTTCTTGTCATGAAGGTGACGATATCTTCGCGTAGTCACCGTTTTTGTTTCGAGTATGCCTCTCATACGGGAACCTGTGAGTATGTATGTGAGTTAGGTTGAACCTCATAGCATGTCACATTAGTCATATTAATGATGCGTCATTCATTCAACAATGATAGTCATAATAACCTTCATATTTTAATCAATCCACAATCAGGCTTGTATTGGAATGTGTAAAAGATTCGCTGCCCAATCACTTGTATAGATTCTTGCTTTGATTTTTTGTATGCTTTCATTCACTCCTATTGCACTCACTCGCCGACCTTCCGGAAGTTGCTAGATAGCCAATATTTTGTGTCCTTTTCAGTTTAAGCTATTATTATTATTCTACTTTAGACAGGGCGACGACAATACAACTATTGCCCAAAGAAAACAAACATCGCTTCAAATATTTGTTTGATTTTTCATTTGCAAAATATGATTTGATCGTATCTAGCGATCAGTTTGTTGAGACGCCTTAAATAATAGGGCGTCCTTTGTCATCAAAGGCCCTGCTTTTAGCGTTTACAATATGATGCCAAACAACTTGTTTGTGCCTAAGAATAGATGAAATATCATAGCGAAAGGATAATCTTACCATGTATCAACTAAGTTGCTGCAATTTCACCTTTAAACGGCGCAATTAAAACCTAGTACTTGGCCGCAAGAAAAGTGTTTTTTCGTTAGCTGTAAAAATCACTTATAATAATTGTCATAGCCATTGCTGTAATATACAGATATTCATCAATAATTTATTAGAATGATCAACTAAAACTCGCATGGGCACAAAAAGATTATTTATCACTAGCGTTGCATCATTATTTACACCAAACAATTTTTAATTCTAACGGATAATATAAATATTACAATAACAGAAGGACCACATAGTCGTTGCTTCCATTGTTGAAACCATTGGCCTTGCAATCAGACCTCGTCGTCAATTAGATCTCGTTGCTTATTAACGCACACATACATACACTCATTGTTCTGTCAATGTCAACTTTCACTCGTCTTATATACATTTTCTTCTTGTCCGTCATCATTATCATTCATTCCAATATCAATTAATTGATAAACAATCAATTTATTATGATCAAAGCGGCAATTAATAAATCAATTAATAGCTTAAAGATTACCATCATCATCGTCGTCGTCGTCGTCGTTACCATACGTGTACCTCTGCATGCGTGAATGTGTGTGCACGTGTATAGGGAAGTTGAAATTTGATATAGCAACTTTGAAATGGTTGCTTTATAAAGCACTAACTGCTGCAGTTATAGTCCTATTATTGTCAATACCCAACAAACCTTCCATACGTGCCATTCCATTACTCACCTCATCTTTATCTCTCTCTCTCTCTCTCTCTCTCTCTATATATATATATATATATATATATATATATATATATATATTGTATTAATGTCCGTGATCACCACGTTGTTTGCACAAACGCAGTACTATCGCCTTTTTATGGGCATCAGCTTCTTTTTTTAAATATAGCATTTATCAAAGCACCTGCTGATCCGCTAGCCTCACAGTTATGCCTCACTCCTGCTTATTTTTGATTAATCATCTGTTTGTTTGTTTGTTTTCCGTCTCTTGTTAGCCGTAAATGTTTTGTTTTTAATATACGTGTACCAACCACATGAACTTCCTGCCTGTCATTCAAACGGGCTGCAGCCCGATCGCGAGCGCGGGTGCTCTCTCTCTCTCTCTCTCTATATATATATATATATAAGGAATGAAGCAACATTATTTCTATGTATATATTTATATATAGAGCAACATCAAAGCGTCGTCGGCGTCACTTCTGCATTGTTATGTAGACAAAGTAAAAATGTTCTCTTCTATTTTGGTGAAGTGTGCCTCGGGGCAGTTTCTTTCGAACAGCAAAAGTAACTTCGAAACTTTCCCACTATTTGCTTCGTTCATCGAAACGATCATTTGCCAAACGCATTTAATGACTATTTCGGCCGGACAAATTATTACCATTTTAGCACATACAGAGCATAAATATTGTAGCGCATCATATGATATAATGATAAATAGCTTGGCCCTCTAAAACACGAACCATTACCCTTTCGGTTATTTGCCCCCTACGCATGTCACGGCTTCGTTTAGTCAGTTCCAGACTACAGATTCAGATACAAATAATCATCTGCATCAATTCAGTTTCTTCAGGTTAATTTGTTATTCCGTTTAAAACTATTAGCCCGTGGCTTGACCAGGAGAAAACTGTATGCAATAATTCTGCCTCGAAAGGCTTATTTTTCCACAGCTCTTTATCGTATTAAAGATGACTAATGCACTGGCGTTTTTATATTGATCAAACTTAACGATATCTCAAAGTTACAGGTTCTGTCCAAAAACGGAAGGCCTCGACTACTGCTGTATATCGACATTCGCTTCCATCAAAAGGGAGGCTATCAAAATTGCTGATTTTTCCGCTCTCAAGTTTTTTTGAAAGGGTTGTTTTTTTTTCAATTCCTCATTTTCTTTTTGTTGGTTTTCTGCTACATATACTTTAAGCAGTCATTCACTATCATATATATTTATAAGTATTCCATGGGTGTCAGACGGCTTTTACTTTTACACTCAATTCAAATCTTTTACTCGGACATTCACGCTAGTCCCTTTTCCCTATTTATATATTTATATAATGACAATTATCTTTTAATAAAATTAGCGCAATACGGAATGGATTTTGCATTGAGCGCACCCCATACACGTACACACCGACATGCCGTCAGTTGCCAGCTTATCTCCAGCTTACTCCGAATAAAAACTTTCTGATTGTTAAGCCCTATAGATAATAATATTCTTCAAGGGTAATGCAGCCCCTTAAAAAATAGCCTTATCCTTTGAAATTTGGAAAATCCTGTGGAATCCCCTCGGAATTTAGAAGACCGAAACGTCAGTACCTAGCGGAGACATAGCTTAGGTTGTCGGGAATGTGTGCATTTTCTCCGCTTCGGGGAGAGAGGGTCTGCTTGCGCTCAGGACAACAATCTTCTCAAATGTGCTTGGTCTTTGACTCGACTTTTACTACTTCAATATATTTCTAAGTGTATGTAAACTTACACGGAATAACCACTCGTTCAAATATCTATTCGACCTTTGAATAAGTTCCTTTTACCATTCATTCATTGGCATCGTTCTTTCACATCATTCTTTCTCCTCTCTATTTATCTCATTAGCTCTGATTGACTTTTTGCTTCAATCGTAGATTTTTTGTTGTCGTTATATATACATAGATATATACGTACTCGTTTATATGTTTCAGTTGCCTGTTGCTCATTTTTTGCGCTTGTTGTGTTTCATTATTATACAGTTTGGATTTAATTAATAGGCCGGATCCTAAGGGTACTCCGCACACGTCTCAGAATGTATGACTACGTGTTAAGTCACAATTCAGGTGTCATTAGTTGCTTTATTCGACTTGTGGGTCCGTTTACCGGTTCACTAAGAATATTCAATTATGATGGTGTTGTTAAATTATACAATGTACAAATATAAAATGGAATGTTTTTTTTTATTCTTATGCTCAGTTCTCGTATATTGCTATTACAGAACGCGGTAATACGTTCTGTATCGATGCCCACTGGCGTGTATGGTACAACTATACGTCTCGAGGAAGTGCGGAATTGCCCGCAAACTGCCTCAACAACAACTACAGGCGATCAACTAAAGTGAACTCCTGCTCTGCGCCCATGATTTTTTTCTTGTTCTATATGCACTCTGTCTGTTAGAAGTAATATTAGAGGTCTAATTATAAAACGCATTTCTCCAACGAATAACGTGTTGCATTGACATCCATGTATATGTATCGTTCGATAGTTGTTACCTCCAACTCTACACTCACGTAAATATAAGCACGTGCACACACGCAAATCTAAGGACGTATATACATACACACACGCATACATTTTTTAAAAGTTTTTTGTTACATTGATTGAACACATCTGATCGAACGGATCCTCCCGAACTCTCTGATTACATCTATGTAGTAACCTTGCCGTAACCAAGAACAAAGTCGACTTTTATTAGCGTGTTTTTAATGACGCAACTGTTGCTCATTATTGTCCAACTAAGCACACAACACGTACATTTTGGCTAAACGAAATCGTTTCAAAGAAAACACATCGTCCAAACAAGGCCACGGAAGTATTACAGTTGTCATGAGTTCTGTTTCTGTTATTAATGTAGTTGGCGTTATCTTGAGACGCGTGCGGAAAAACAGGCCTGCACCAGTGTACCCTTGTTCTATGGCATCCACGTATTCGATATCTGGGTATGAGTGCAGTCCTATTTATGTACCATATAACGCCGTATACTAACCTGTTTTATAACAATGATCATAATAATAATTATTATGTAAATGATTTAGCTTCCTTTATAGGTATGTAATGTATGTTGTCATATGTGTGTATGTTTTCTGTCTACCTCAATAACGATATCAGCTTGCGCGTACTGTTGATGTATGTGATGTCGTTGCCATTAGGTTATTATTACCGTAACGGCATCGCCATCGTAAGTATGGTCATAATTTCATCATAAGCTTCTTCATTACCTTCTACCTCTTTATCATTTCGTACCATCGTCATCATCACTTTATCGTTTTATCTAGAAAAACTTGAGCAGAAGGGTTTAAAGGCCGATCTATTCGGACTGAGACGCTTGTCTTCTTTGCCATCGCTGCCTCTCTGAAAAGCCCTATGACCATCCGAAAGAGGCTTCTATTAATTAGGATTGCCTCAAGTCCCTGGTTCGGCCCCGATTCATATACATCCTATATGCCATGGGCCAAAAGGGAAATTGCCAACGGCTGGTAGGACTCGAAGCCTTCGAGGCAGGAGTACGAGCTATAATAACTGGCTGAACTATCAGGCCGCGGACTTCCTCCGGATGACTTCTGTGCCGAGTACATGTTCAATATTATCGGTAGTTGCTTAAGGTCGAAGTCTTTTAGGGCGCTTGCTGCTGCCCTTGCTGTTGGCAAATAGGAAATGGGTTGAATTCGGGAAAAAAGAGGGAGTGCTGAGCGCTGAGTTGAACAGCGAATAGTTTGTAATGCTCTGTTGATAATTAATACATTCGAACAGATTGCAGTTAGTTGTTCACAGCTGGCTCGATCTACCGAAAAGCTTGTCCGCCGAAGTATGCGAAGATGACAGATGAATCTCAAAATTTTCGGTAAAGTCCAGTGTCACCGTTCAGAACGGGTGGAGAGACTACTCCTACTGCAGCATAAACACCAGCGCGACTGCTACGGCCTTGAGGAAGTCCTCTATTTGCTGCTTTCTGTTCTTCTGCTTTACTCATTTTCTGCTTCATCGGCTTGTGAGAAAGTCATGTACGAGGGAATCTTACACGGCCTTGCCTTGCGGAACTCTTCATGGGAAAGACTGAGGGTTCGCTGAGCAGACGGACTTGCTGTGGACACCAATGTAATATTTAGAAGAAGAAGTAACCTATCTGATA